CTGTCTCTCTCCTTGCAGAGTACAATTATTAAAAAAAAAGTTTTTCTTTATCTTAAGATGTGTTGTTTCCTTGTTGTTATTTGAGCGCAGGTTAAAAATAAATAAAACTGGACCTCCTATCCTCATCTTCCTGCTGGTATTGATGGTCTCTGACTTTAGCGATGCCTAGGCTTCTCCAACAGCTGCTTCAGGCTGAAGGAGGATACGCCGACTCCGATTCCGGCCAACAGGAACGCAGTTGGGAACACTAATTTGTCAAACTGAGAGGACTGTTGAGCGGCTGATGCATTCTAAAATAAACAAACAAAACGTAAATAAATATAGTGCTTCTCATTAAGTTTATAAGAGATGATAAGAGTAGGTCTTATCACAATAGCATTACGCAAAGAGAATCCAATCCATGCGGTGCGCTCATGATTGGTTTAAATGCAGTGACGTCAATGCATGATCAAGGCATGATGCGTCTTCTGCCTTGTTATGACCATATTTACATGCACTTTGCATGCGTACTTCCTTGCAAATATTTAAATCAATCGAATCACAGCAGACAGAAGAAGCACGCACAACGATAAACAACTTCACCACTATTGCTGACGAACATGTTTACAGTAACCTGGGTCTCCAACCGTTCACAAACAAATAACATAAACACATTTTCTGATATAATTAGTAATGTTTACACTTCTGCATTTCTTTCCGTCTTTCCTAATTATCAAATATTGCAGACTAGTTCATTATCATACATCATCGGAATATTTTTGTTTCACATTTTAATTAAATAATCACATCGAATTGCTAGAAAATTTAAAAAATAACTTTTTCATTGCGTAGAGAAATGAAAAAAAGTGTATTTGAAACTACGCCAAAAAAAGCAAACGCAAAAGTCGCCAAAAGTATTCGAGAAATGAAAATAGCATTAATGGTTAAATCATTATTAGCGTTAGAAAGTCTCCGAGAGCTGTATACTAAAAATAGATCCGCCCTAAAGATTCTCACATGCTAAACTAACACTAACCTATCCAAAATAACTTAAATAATAAAAATATACTAACTATGTATCTCTATTATATGTAATATTTTTATTAATTTTGAAGATCTACGACATTCACATTGAACTAAATACTGAACAATATCAATGAAATTATATTGCATCAGTGTGACCTCAAAATTGATTATTATAATGATTAAACCTAAAATGAATTAATATAAATATATTTTTTAAAATATATGAATCTTATTACCCTACAAGCATTATGTCATGATACACAGACTTATTTCAATGAAAACATCGTTTAGAAAATTAGTTGTAGACAATTTAAATATAATTATCTTTCAGTAAATATTATTACAATAGACAATCAAAAATACCAATTATCGTAATTCGGAGACAATTTCCGGATACAACGTTTTAATTGATATGACAAATACAGATATAAATTTGTGGAATATTTCTTGAAAGTGTGTTTCAACGGAAAATAACAGATATAATATGACATGAGTATTTGGAGACTATTTTTTAAACATTATTTAATTTTTTTTTCTTGAATAAAAGTAATTTTTGAACATAAATATTGTAATAATTGCAGTTTGTAAACTGTAAACAGTGAATAACAGTTAAATACAATCAGTTTGAAAACACCAGAATTAGAAACTTCAAGAAGTGTCATGGAATTGACTTAATAATAATAATATTTATAGCAACAATAAAATTACAAAATTAAAATTCAATAAAAAACTGCTTCAAAGGGCTATTGACCATTAAAGTGACTTGTTATGACCCTTGTTTGTTTTTTTTTTTTAATTAAACTTATTTTTAAATAGAGTAACCATAGTTGAAGCAATAACAAATAGAAATATATGTAACTTACCTGAGGTACAGTCAAACGCAGAGCAAGCATACGAGCCTGTGATGGTTTCATTCTTTTACAGTTTGTAGTGCCCTGCAAATAGAGTTGACGTCTTCAGTTAAACAATGCCCTTCAATGTTGAAGAGTATGGGAGATGGGCCTTCACTTTTTCCAACCAAACTCAATGTAAAGATATTGAGGGTAATGGAAATATGAAAAAGTGCTTGGCCCTTTTTGCGAGAATGCAAATCACGGTGTGCTCTTGTCAGTGGTTTGTAGTGAATTGTGAATATATCTGCGAGCTCTGAGCTTTTTAAATGTCGTTACATAACCTTTCTGCTACAGAGATCAACAGTTTTTATTGCGCGACGTGCGTCAGGAAATGCGACTCAGTTCGAGACCAAGTGCAAAGTATAATAACACTCGTGCTCATCAATTCTACCAATAAATGAAAACTCTCGGGCCGAGAACACAGCGATTTTATTTCAAAAAAGAAAATCATCTCTGACACTCACCTGACTTGCACCAGGAAAACAACGAAAAGGCCAAAGCCGACCAATGAGACGCGCACCTTGGTTGCATAACCCAGTTTACACTAGGAAATTATTTTTTTTTATAAAGAAGTGGCTATACAACAGATTTCTCATATGACTTGGTCCCCCTGATGTTGATATTCCAATAAACTTGTTGCATTTTAATTTCATAAATTAACATTTTCCTAAAGGGAAGTAGCAGGCGGAATAAAAAAAATAACATTTTAAAATACTTGTATATTGCATTTATAATTAAAAAAAGACATAATTCTCAATTCTTCATAAAACATTTTTCTAATACACATAATACAATTTTCTTATATTTTGTATATAATCACTATTTAGTATAATCACAATTTACAGATTTGGAAAATCCATGTATTTATCTTTAGTGCATATAAAAATAGATACACAATCGAAGATTTTCTTGTTTACAATATTCGCTAAGCACACACGTTTTACTGATAATACATAATGCATTTTTGAAATTGCTTCTATAAATAACACGAATACAATTGGGTTTCATTCGAAAATTGTCACATTATGCAACTTAATTCGCATGCAATTTGATGAACATTTGTTATTTATAAACATGGAAGACTCATGCTTATAACAAGTGCACCTTATTAGAAGAATTAATTAAATTAAAAATGAACTCAATTATAAAAATAACGAAAGGTTTTATTAATCCCAGGTAGCAACTTTCAGTCCATCGGCTTGGGTTTCATAAACTTCTTTGATCGTGCTTTCTTGGTCTGAAACTTCTTGGCCATGGTCTTGTTTAGAGTGGAATATCCTTCAGCCATCTCCTGGTCAGAAACGTCCTTCTCATTTTGCTTCTCTGCATCCTCCAATTGCTTCACATAAGTATCCGACATGATCTTCTCTATGTCAGGATTCATGCCACCAAAGGATAATCGTCCCTCAATCAAGTTCCTGCAGTTCATTATGCTGGTATTTACAAATATGGTTCCACTTTTCTTCATGTCTTCCGTGATTTCGGAGGAGTACATGGCATTACCCTCTGCATCATCTGCTTCTTTTTCCACACGATCTTTCGTCTTCTTCATGAACTTCATGTCCAGCACGGACTTGGAAAGTTTCGTGCGAGAATTATCACCCATCGTTACTTATTCAACACCTTTCAAAACAAATTATGTGACCTAATTGTAGGTTAACTTTTTGTATTTATCAAATCTTAACCTATAAAATAAAACAGAAATAAAATCCATGCACCAATTGCAATGGCGATAGATTCAAATTTAAAATCTTCAGAGAACATGCATTTTTAAATTTGCTAAAGCAAAACAATACATTTCAGCATATTAAAATCCATAAATTGATAATAATTATCAGATTTCTCATTAAATGAAGACAATGAAGCAGAAAAAAAATTAAACATTTATTTCATGTCTTTTTTTATCTCGTTTTCCAAATACTATTTCTTATTTTTTTTGATTGGTATAGTTTAATGCATGTTTACATATAAAAAGAAAGAGACGTAAAATTACATAACATTAATACCAACAATAATTCAGTTTATACAATGTTTGCAAGTCAATATTGAGGCAAAACGATATCGAAAAAATTCGAAGATGAGATAAATATGTTGTTTGTGTATACATACAAGTGAAAAAATAAAAATAATCTAGGAATTCAATTTGTTATGCTTCATTTAATGGGAATGGTTCGAAAGAATGAATGATTTCTTCCTTTTGTTATACTTGGATTATACAAATAATGATAGTATATATATAATTATGTTTAATACACATTATGTAGAGATGTATGTATAATATGTACAAGCCTTAAGTAAACCTAAGAGAGGGAGATTTTTCCTAATATAAAATGTTCAACAAGTTGCTTGCCGCATGGAAATTAAGATGAAAATGAAGTCAGAGAACACATGAAATTAATATATACATCTGTACGTCTCTGAAAAAATCAACAGAAAAAATAAACGAATCAAGTGTATATAAATATAATACAAAATGTGGTTTTCTTTCAATATTTTGAGGTATTAGATACATGTGTAAATATGTCCTTAGTTTATGGATATTAAATAAAACAGCATTCAAATAATACGAAAGATAATCATTAGTTATAATTATGATGACGATAGTAATAATACATGTTGCTTATGCCTTTTCGCGCGTCGAAATAATAAATTAGTAAAACAATTCGAAATACAAATTTAGAAATGAGGAAGGATCGAATCTATATATATGTATAATTATTATTTTATCTATGTACAAATTATTACAATGTTTAAGCATCTGTCTATTGTAAAATAGATCCGATTCGTTACAATCATTATTATATTTATTTTTTTTCATTTAAAAAGGAGCTCACCCATCATACGCATATATATGCGTACTCGGCTCCCTGTTTGACAAAAGGGAAAAGTGAATGAGCGAGAGGAAAATACACACAAAAAACAAGTATTATCCTAAGTTTTCTGCTTTTTATATCCAATCCTGGCAACATGCGGCTGCGAATTGCCTAATATACAATTCGCAGCCGCGTGTTGTTTATAAAACAGAGTTAGTGTAGAAGCGAGGAGCAATCGTTTGTTCGTCTGTTATTCAATTGCTGCTAGTGGACGGTATGTCGATGGTGTGACTCTCATTACCGAAGATGAGACGCAGCCGTTTCATTGGCGGATGCGCGTGGAAGAGAGCGGCGTCTTCGACGTTTTTCAGCCGCCTCTCTCGTTTCCTATCCTTCGATTTGTGCCGCTTCTTTCGGTGCGAGTAGGGAGTGCCGTAGTGACTGCTGTCCACTCCTTCCACGCGCAGCACCTCATACTCGGTCTTGTATTTGTCCTCGTTGAGGCTATTCCCTGACTCGATGACTTCGTCTAGCACCGGACTTCGTTTCATTCGCAATGTCAATTTCAACCTGCCGCATTTCTCTGGCGTCTTATCCTGCTGATGGTGCTGTTGCTGCTGGACGTGTGGCAACGACGGTTGTGATGGCGGCGACGGCGTTTTCCTATCTTTGTCCGTGGCAGTTGAGTGGTCGTTCTCGTCAGCCTTGTTTCTCGTATCTAAACCGTCCGTTAAATCACTTGTTATCACATGTTCACTAAATATACTGTTTGCGGTTGTCGCATCATTGTCTGTGCACTCCGGCTTGGCAGTGTTGATGGTGGTTGTTGTGGAGGTGCGGCGCAGCAGCCGCGACGACGTTCTCACCGGCAATTCCTTCCGTTTCTTGGCTTTCATTTCACTGCTGCCGATGACGTAATCGTTGCCGTTCGCGTTGCAGTCGATCTGCATGTCCAGTGTAGGCATCATCATCATTGCCGCTTCCGCGTCCGGAATGATTTTAGTCATCATCGGTAGCGACTCGCTCTGATCTCCACAGACTTTGTTATTACTCCGGAGTGATCTGCTACTACCATACGTTATGGAATCTGCAATTAAGTTTAAAATGAAGTTACATTTGCTGGCACTCCAAAATCTATTGAGAAAAATAACGAAAACATTTTTCAGGCATAAATAATACAACGTACAATATTTATAAGTATTAATTTATAAAAGGCAAACTGTTGTACATATGTATGCGCCGATGGTGGTCTACCAATAATGTGGTAAATTGAATTACCTGAATTGGCTATGCTGGCAGGATTCGAGGTGATGTTGGGTGGCACTCCTTTCCCGCTCTCGTGGCAGTCGTTGAAATTCCTGTTCTGCTGGGTGGCATCACAGACGGGGTCGTGATCACTGTAACTGGCGCTTGTACTGCTTGCGTTACTTTGCATATCATCCAGAAGATTTGATCTGGAGATACTCTGGTTTGCAATCTGCATCAGCTCCTGGTTGGCCTGCCTCGCCTGTCGACGCTGCAGTCGAGATGCCCTTGTGCTCATGCTATTACTACTACTATTATTACTATTACTACTGTTATTAACACCAACACTAGTATCGTTATTGCTACAACTACCGTTCGTACTGTTGTTATTGTTGTTCATATTAACACCGTGCACAATAACACCGCCACCACTATTGTTGTTCTTCTGCTGATGCTGCTTCCCGTGTTTATCGGAGAGTCGTACCGGCGGCTCGTTGGGTGCTCCTCCCATTCCGCTAGAAGAGGACGAGGAGTTCCGATGATTACGTCGCGGGAAGTCCCCGATGTCAGAGAATTTGCATCCCTGCGCAATCAGCATCTCCGCATCATATCGTGTCATGCCTTTCTGTCGCAACTCCTTAATACTCAGAGGCGCTACAATTTTGCCGCTGTCCTCTTCCTGTTGCACCCCGACGATGGTACATCCCTCCAATGGAGTCTTTCCTACCTGTAACTTCTGCTTCGTCCGGTTGATGCGGTTGTCAGTTTCACGCAGTCTGTACCCGTTCTCCTCCTTCTTTTCTGAGCGGTTAGCGAAAGCACCAGTTGCCCGGCGTTCGCATGTCTCGCACTCGCAATAACAGTTCTTGTCGCCGAAAAAGTCTTCGCCATAAAAACAGGTGATCTCTTCGCCAACCTCGATGTCCCGCAACACCTTCACGCAGGCCGTGTCTCTGCCTGTCGCGACAAACTTGCAGTTGGCTCGACAGTCATGGTTGATATACGCTGCTGGCCCCAGCCACAGTTGCGCGCAGTTCTTTCTGCAGCTATACATCACAGAGAAGTCGTTTTTGCCAGGATGCAGGAGCATCTTCTCCTCCTCTTCCGTTAACTCGGCTATGCAACCAACCAGACACTCGATCTTGTCGTGCTTGTTCCATTTCTTCGTTGACGAGATTTTCGCGCCCTTCTGTCCTTCCAGTGAGTAACGGTAGCACGGTTCTATTACGAAACCGGATTCTGTATCAAACACTCTCAAGTATCGGTACACCTGTAAATAAGAAATAACAGATTACATAATTATTACAGGATTATTGGTTAATTTTAAAAGATACGCAATATGTCAATTTTAAACCTATATCCCATATAGCAAAATAAATGTTGGTAATGTAGGAATCTGCATTATCTACTTTAGGTTAACTACAGCTTTGTTAATATGTTGTTTTGAAAATTTTGATAAATTGGACTGCAGCTTAAATGATATTGTAATTGTATCAATTTTAACAATTCCTAATTTAAATTAAATTCATCACATGAAGCCAGTCTGTAACAGGTGACATCAACACAATTACTAATATTATTGCTTTATGTCTAATTTTAATAAAGTACTGTTTAATTTAAAATAACAATTAATTGAAATTGTATCAAAGTGAGAGATATTCTCAATTGAAATTGCAAATAAACATAATAGGTGGCTAATTTCTTACATGTTCTTCAAGTCGCTTCTGCTGATTTTTAGCCTTGGGCCTAGACATCCAATCTCCCTTTGATATCCTACTATAGGCCTTCTCATAATTCTGAGTGCGTATGAACTCTGACACAATGCTTTTCAACTCAGAATTGTTTAATCGCAAAGGCCTGCTGCGGATATTCATTTTGTGAGTCATAAAACCCAGATGGGGGTCAAGGACCAGAGAGGTGGCCAGGTCATCATTCTCAGACAGCTCCCTGGGATTCATACCCGCAGGCTGCATCTTGCTAGAGGGTGGTCTTGTTGCTGCATCCACAACCATTCTGACTCACTGCAATCAAAATTGAGTGCACACACTTTAGTAATGTTGCTTTCACAGTAATTCACATAAACTGAGCACTAAAGAACTATATACATACATATATAGGTTATATTATTTTATAAAACCAAATTTGAAAAAAATGTGTTGTTTGATAGAGGACACTGTCTTGTAGGAATCAAGGTTAGGTTGACAACAACAAAGAAAAACCGTTGTGTTAGCATTTCGCTGCGGGACTCCTGTATTTCTTTTTAGGTTCAATGTTCGTTTGTTATTGTTGTTATGACTATAGGGACTTTACATTTTGGCAAACGAGGGGGGCTTAGAGCGCCGCATGGCCTTTGGGACATGGAGGATGGAGACACGGGAAGATGTTTCAGGCGCGGGTGGCGATGATGATGATCATTGCCATAAGCGAAGAGTGAATGATGATGGTGGTGTATTGGGTGCAGGATAAGATGAATGGCGTTGGGAGAGCAGCCGAGCAGCCATTGAACCTGGGAAGACTGACGAGCGCACAGATGAATGTCTGATGGAAATTCGGGCTTTTGGTGACTCGGATCGAGGTGTTTGAGGTCGGATCCGAATGCGCTGATCCAGGAATTATCAAAATATTACCGGTTCGTTGCGATCGGAGGCCCACAAAATCCACATTATAACAAAACTTGGCACCGTCTCGACACAGCCAGGTGACGCTCGAAATCAATCATGGCAGGCGGTCCGGTCGCTAACGCCAACGACGATCATCATCATAGTCGTCAATTGTCCTGAGGACCGCCGCCGACGAATATTTTCGCTAAAAGTCTCCACTGATCATCATCCTACATTTCCCGTTTTCTTTTCTTCCCGATCGCGATATTCTTTACTAATCCCAAAATTACTGTCCCACACGCTCTCTCTCCGTGTATGCTTCCCAGCGACTTGTTGTTGACAGTTTTTTTCTTGCTCAGTTTCGTTAACCGTTGGTATCACTGTCTGACAAAATTCGCATTCCCGCTATTATATAAACGTGAATTCCTCAATAAATGACCGTTTTCAATTGTCTTTCGAATCATAGAAATAATAACAAAAAACTTTTTCAATAATAATTTTCACATTTTAAGACTTTTATTCTGGGTATTTGTTTCTATGAATGTATATAACAAACTATTTACTCATAGCGGTAGACACATAAGATTTAATATGAACAAAGAATAATATAGGTATCGACATCACCGTTCAAATATAAGTAATTAATGAACGCGAATGTTAAGTTAACAAAAGGAAGAGTTAACGTTCTTCAGAGGGCTTTTGGTCTGCTCGATGTTCACGTAATCACGGACACCCTTCCGTTTAACGCTCAGGTGTATTTCCGGCTGATCGCTGTTATCAGGCCAGACTGCCGTTACCTTGACCGTGCAATCGCATCCGATCACACCCCTTTCGTGCGCGAGCGCCAATTGGTTGACAACTCGTCGCTCCACCTCGTACTTAATTGATCGCGCCCCATAATTCACGTCGTAACCATTGGCCAAAGCTGATTCCACGCTCCGGTCCCACTTGAGGTCGATCTTGTGCTTTTCTTGTGCCTGTTGCACGGAATCGCATTATTATTTATGCAATATTTGTTAATATGTTCATATTAGTTTATTCGTGTGATCGAAGATTTAATTCCTGAAACTCACCCTTTTCGCCCATATCTGCAACTCCTTATCGACTAATTGATACAGTTCTGGTCTGGAAAAAGGCAGGAAGTAGACGATTTCGTTAATTCTGCCTAGAAACTCATCGCGCTTGAAGTGCTTCTTCAAAATAGGCTTAACTACTTTATCTTTGAACTTCCTAGAGATCTGCACTTCACTAACATCATCTAAATTAATTAATGACAATAAGCTAATAATAAAATGATATGTATATAAAACGCACCAGTGTTTTCGAAGCGTTCCTTCTTGATCATCTCAACCTCCTTGCGAATATCGAGCGCGTGTTGCGCGATTTCGTTGGAAGCCAAATTTGAGGTCATGATGAAAATGGCATCCTTGCATTCGATGGTCTTACCCTGACCATCTGTAAGACGACCCTCATCGAAGAGCTGCAGAAGAACGGTTAGAACGTCTGGGTGAGCCTTGTCTACCTCGTCGAAGAGTACCACAGCTTCCGGGCATTTCTTTAGCTTCTTGGTGAGTTGGCCGCCCTCGTCGTGACCGATGTAGCCAGGCGGTGCTCCTATCAGCTTCGCGACCTACGACCATAATAAACTTAGTCCTTTTCAATGGTTGTCTAATTACATTTGTGAAGATATTAAACCTCGTGCTTTTCTTGATACTCGGACATATCCAATCGGATAAACGTTGTTTGTTTATTCTTGTGAATATATGCGGCTAACTGCTTGGCCAACTCCGTTTTACCGATACCCGAGGAACCCAAGAAGAGGAAGACAAGAGGATGATCATCGTCGGACCAGCCGTTCTCCTTCCTCCTCACCGCTGCATTCGCAGATGATTAATTAATTATAGATTTAGAGTTACTTTGGTCATATTTTTCAAAAAGACGCACTTGCTGCGACCGTGGTGATTGCGCTCTCTTGTCCAACGATGTATTGTTTGATGCGTTGCTCCAGAGGAAACCTGCGCCTTTCTTCAAGCTCCTTTTGCTTCTTCAAGATATCAAACTGAAACAGTAATACTCTTTACTGAGGTATTTGAATACTCCTAAATAGCTCCTATGTTACTCCATCCCCATTTTTGAGTCGATTTTCTTTTACCTTTGCCGAATATTCTTTCAGCATGTCTTTGACAACGCTACCATCTTTAGCGTAATCTCCCGGAGAGTGTCCGGAATCGTTTTCCTGCATGGGATCAGCTCCGGCCTCCAAAAGGATTCTCACCACCTCCACATTATCAGAAAGTACTGCATAGTGCAGAGCAGTAAAGCCCAGGAACGTCGCCTTGTTATTCAATCTACTACAGAACTCTTCATCTCTTAACATCAACACTGAATTGTAACAAGTATAATTAATAACTAATTACGTCTTGCTAAACGTTAACATCAACCTTCTAAAAAGTGTAACCCTTGCTCATGTCCAGTCCTCTGTGGATTGCAGTACATATCTCCCAAGTTAGGATCAGCTCCTTTGGATAGCAGCACTTTGCAGATATTAGGCTTACCATTAACTGCAGCAAGCATCAGGGGGGTCCAGCCCAGATGATGCCTAGCATTCACGTCTATCTGATTGCTCGAAAGCAATCTGTAATTGGAAGCAAGTTCATGTATATCTTTTAAATATTGTGATGTTAAACATTACTTTCCAACTTCCTCGTCGATGCCATACTGGACAGAGCGGAAGAATCTCTTTTCAACGTGCTGCGTGTTGTTGATGAAGGAGTGACAGTAGACGGCACCTAGGGCTCCAACAGCGAAACAGTTGAATACCCCGGGTTGCAGCCAATGGAAGCATCCTCTTCGTTTATGATTAGATTGAAGGCAAAGCGCTACAACTGGACCTGTTTTTTTGTTAATGTTGATGTTCCTAAGTTCCACACGTTTCGAATAATGAAATATGCGTCGCAACCTCAACAACATCTTGCAGCCGTTGTTGTCAGTATTAGTTTGGTTATTTAAAGCTTATTGTGAAGAATCTAACCTATAAACTGTCAATAAAGATAAATGATTTTGCATTTTTTTTCCAACTTATTATAATCATTTTACATTTATATCATGTTTCCTGTAACGTACAAGATTTATGAAACGAGACTAAAATAAAAATACCCTTACTTCTATCCTTTAAGAACAAATGATTGAGGTAATATTCAATATAATTGTTTTGTATATAATCAGGTACCCTAGGAAGCTTTCAAACTATATCAAATGATATAGCTTTTTAAAACTAGGTTAGCAACTCAAACTTAGCACCTACATGTTTTTTTCTAATCCCAAATACAACAGTTATTATTTGAAGAACTCAATCAACATTATAAGTAAACAAATTGCATTGTATTATCTAGGAGTCTAGATGCGAGGACGGTTATACCATATAGACACTGCACTTTGAATCACTTTTATTAATAAAAATTATTACTTTTTTCCCTTCTCATATCTCATCATCATAAAGTTCAAATCTCACCTCATTGTATCATCAATTATCGAGAGAAAAAAGAAACGAAACACTTAACACAATCTACAAATTAATATCTTGGTAAATAGTAAAAAAAAAAGAAAGGATGGGTGGCTGGCTCACCAGTTTTCCTATCTTACAAAAAAAAAGAGTAAAATAAAGTAAAAAGTAGTTCATTAATTTATGAACAAAAAAAGAAAGAAAGAGAATAGTAATTACGGAGAGACAATCAATCGTTTTCGCAAAAGTATAAAAACAATTGTATTTTGTAAAATATAATAATTATTAAAGTTTGTGGATAAAATATTTACTTAATTAATATATAATATTGTTTTTTTTCATCATGTTTTTTGTTTACGAATGCGAGCGAGCGATTGCGCGCACGTGTGTGTGTATTATATGTTTTTTTTTGTATGTTGCTCATGGTTTTCATGAGGAGTTGCTGTTATCACCGTTGTCAGTGCCGTAGCTATTAGCGTTGCCGTTCACCACGAACGATGTGCCCAGACCGTAAAGATGGCCGGAAAACTTTGAATCATCGATCGTATCCTCAAAGAACATCTGAAATAAATAATAGCAACAAAAAGGATTTATAGTCTATATATGAAGCGGATACACGTACCTCCTTCATTTTGAAAAACGCCATTCCAGTAAGTAGCGAATCAGATCCAGCCTGGTGCTGTGGGCCTATTCTTTCCAAGTCCAGCTGCTCCGCCACCTCCTGTAGACCGCCTTTCAAGTTTTTACAAGACTTCATGAGGTACTGTAAGCAAACAACGGATATAATTCTGAGATGTATCAGCTTGTTCGTAATTCTCCACCCACCTTAACATCGTAGATTGTTGGGAAATAGAGTTTCAGTAAATCGAAGAAATCCGACTCGTCCATCGGCAAGTTGGTATCCGTCAACAACTTGATGAGGTACCCGAAATCGTAACCTGAGTGAAAGGATAACCATTTGATGTTGTCCATAAGGACAATTCCGGAGGTCATCAGAAGCTCGGCGAATTCGGACGGTTCGATGCCTTCTTCTTCGTGTTTCTTAAACTGAATTCCAGAATTTTGTAGCAATTCGATACTATCTTGGGCATACATATCTTCCCTGTAAAACATCATAAAATCTCAAGTGTTCTCGGATTGTATACGGGGAGAAAGAGACTTACGAGAGATTGAATTTGAAATTAAATTGCCATGTGGTGTACGAGCCCCCTGGCGTTTTCCCGTATTCATCCAGAAAGGTCAAACCTAACTGGATGATCCTGAGCAGATCCACATTACACCTGAGAAGCTGGTATTGGTACTCGGCGGTGCTCCGGAATTCACCGATAGGACGTGCTACAACACCCGGAAATTCCGTATCCATTGCTACATATGGATACTTCTGGACAATCTGAAAAAATAAAAATAAACCTAACTTACGATAACTTTACCACATGGAATAGTGCATTAGTTCCAAGATTGTGAAATTATAAATATACAACTATCATTTCTTTCTTTCACTTTTCATAGATTTAATGGCCTGGTTCATACCATCTAAGTATTGAAAACATAATAAGTGATTGTGACAAATTCTTTTTAATGTATATGCCACTTAATTTGGTAACATTCATATCAGAGATAAACATTTTCAGTAATTTGTAATTTTGGATAATAGCTTCTATATATTATATAAATCTTATTTGAATAAATATTAAAATTACTTTTCTATTAGAAATGTATGCAAATATTGAAAAACATACGACACAGGTAACACATCTAAGTATGTAAAATCATCACCTGTCGTATAGTCCTAAATTCATCCTCGAGATTATGGGCCCACACATCCCTGATGCCACACTCCTCATTGTTTGGATGTTGGGAGCTACCGATAATAGCTGCTGGCATCTCAGACCCTTTTTCCGTATTGGTCAATTGCGTCCACGGGTTCTGAACCCAAATAACATTAGTGTTCGATGTCGTCCCTCCTCCACCCTCGCCACTCTTATCCTCGTACTCTGTAAGTTTCCACAATATGTCCTCCTCCTTGGCGTTCAAATGCAACTTGCAATCATTTTCATTCGACAATTTCATTGATGCAATTTTTTGTCTGCAAAAAAAAAAGGAAATCAGTTTAATGGATAATGGTTTGCAATAAGCTCGGATGAGCAGACACACAGTCAGACAAGAAAAACAAAGGGGGGAATCAAGAGTTGCTGAATAACCTAACAGCAGTCAAAGTGACAGTAAGAAATTATCCCTCCCCTCCCCATATGGGGGGTGGTTTTTGTTTGATACCAGAGCTCTCTGGATTCCAACGTTTTTCTCTACTCTTTCCATCGTCATGTGTTATCTTAACAGTCCTCGTACACGCACATTTTTCTGCTTATTTTTGTATGGTTTCCTCTGGAGTTTGTTTATTGTGCGTGCGAGATATTTCGAAATACCTCAGAAATGCACTACTGAAGAGAAAAGATAGACAAAGAGCGTGTTGCGCGTCCAGAGAGCTTCTGGCATATTTGACGCGCTGTCGGTGACGGGAAGATGAAACAGTGCGGAAACGGTACTCACCCATTTTATTAAAAGGAAAAAGGAACGTAAACATAAGATTTTCTATGCTTCCTGTTATCAGTGACAGAGTGAACAATTTCTCATTATTTCATGTTAGTACTATCAATCGCATTGCTGCCATCCTTTCGCACACTTGCAATAACATCAATGCTGCCAACATTCCCACGTTCAATTGGAACGAAAGAGAAAGTTCAATTATGCACGAAGCATCGGCAACTAACTATACACAATTTAAATAAGTATTCTATTTGAAAACGGTTTCATGGCAAAAAAGAACATTATACAACAGAACAAGATAAAACTGAGATAAAATAGAATAGTATTAAAACCGAATAGAATAAAAAAACACAGAAAGTTATCTTCTTCTTCTTTTATTAAACCTCCACTCACTTCACTTAGTTTGTGTCAAGCACAATTTCGCCAGATACCGCCCCGTGGTCATATGTAGATATGTATTATAACAAGGGGCCACAACACACAAAGACAATGTTCAAACCGAGACTCTGCGGTTCAGTACAATTGGACTGGGTTGAGTCTCGGAAAGGATGATTGTGTGCTTGTAGATAGGACCGCAACCAGATAGGCAGCGTAGGTGAGAAGTCTTGCAACCAAATATACCGAGAAAACACTATATCAAAATTTTGAATCTTCTTAAGAATTCCAAGACGGCCAAATACACGTCACGATTCCCTGATGCCATCAAAAGAGGGATCGAGGTAGGCAATGGGACTTTGAGTGCAAGGAGAGTCAAAATTAATTCCGCACTGATGGCTGAGTTGTTGGGGCATTGGAAGAAACAATGGTTCACCGTACCCAAACTACCACATTTACATTGATCCGAATCGGTCCAGCCTATCCTCTGGTGAAGGGCCGGAACGAGACAGTGCCCCGACCTGAGTCTGGTGAGAATCGAGATGTCGGCTTTCCTGGTGAATTTTAGCTCATGGAACCAGGGTTTGTACTTGACCGTTGGGAAGCTGTCTAAATAGTGGATCGAGTCTCTGGAATTGATGAGCATTGTTGGCCAATTCGTCAGCTATCTCTTTACCTCTAATTCCTTTATGAGAGGGCATCCAGCAGATTTTAATCTGTGACCCCTCTTCCCACAAGTCCCTACAACAAGCTCTAATCCATAATACAAGAACGTTAGTTTTCAAAGCGTACCTACACTTCACTCCAGCGAACAGGCCGAGTCCGTGAAAACCACAACTTCCGTCCAGTGGTGAAGCCGGACGAAGCAGCACGCTCTATAAATTGCAAATAGTTCAGCCGTAAGTATGGATGCCTGATTCGGTAGTCGACCACTCTCCGAAGCGTCTGCTGATGGGATGAAGACTCCGAAAAGTCGATGAGTCAGGTCTAACTGAACCGTCCGTGTAAATCTGAGCATGCTGGGGTTAATGATCGGCGACGAAGTCGTATAGAGCTCGGTTGATTTGGACCGTCGGCTGCACCAGCAGCGGTGTACCTCTGGATATTCAGAATGGAAAAGACCGGTAGGCGTCGACGGCCTGTCGAATGGCTGGGAGGACACAAGTTGGACCCATGGCTCTACATTTCATCAATTATTGCGCGGTCAGTCTCATCCTTCTTAGCCGAAGAGGAGGTATAACCATCTCAGAGTGCAGCACATTGATTGGTGTTTAATTCAGGGCCCCCAGGCAAATCCAGAGAGCCTGATTTTGAATCATGTAAAGAGCCGCCAGGGATGTTCCTGGACAAAAAGAGTATATAGAGCACGCGTAATCCAGTCTGGACACAATAAAGGCACTGTAGAAACATAAGAGGGTACTCGGTTCCCCTCCCCAATCTCTACCTGCCACCGCTCTCATTATGTTGAGTCCCAACGACCCAAACTCCCCACCTGTTTATTCCAGGTCAGCTTATCATCTATCTATATTCCGAGAAACCTAAATAAGCGGATCAAGAAGACATCTCTTTCTTGAGAACAACATACATTTAGTCTTATCGGGGACTAGGGAGAGATTCCTGGAGTCGAGGAACTCTTGGAGACGGCCAAGTGATGCGTTCATGCGTGTAGCCAGCGAGTTGATGTTCTTCCCGTTAGTGACCAGGGCTATATCGTCCGCGTAGATCAGAGCCTGCGAGCGATAGTCCTGCCATTTAATCTTGTTGTACTTCAGTCGTGTACTTCGAGGAGTTCTGCGGCTCGGCTCTGGCGTCTGATGGGAACCGAGAGAGATGTTCGATAGGACGGACAGATGATCGCTGCCCAGTGAATCGGCCAATGTACGAGACGACGAGGAGATGACAAGATCGGCGGTCACCAGGACGAATGGCTCTGTAGCCTGGCGTCGAGACCCTTACTCGAGGACGGATCCAGGTCTCACTAATTAAAAGAACATCCGTATTGGAATTGTGAGCAAAGTTGATTAACGCTGACTGGTTAGAGAGGAACGAGCTAGCGTCCAGCTCAGCATAGTCAGATTCCTAGGTGTCATTATTGTGGATTGATTCGTTAATTTGATTGAGTGCTGTCATTAGAAGTTTAATGGCGAGAGCTAATCTTGAATTATTATTTATCTTTTTATCTGCAATCGCATTTAACAGTTGTTTGAAGACTGAGGCGAGAAATTCCTCGCTGAGGTCTTCCTCCGAAGAGGCGGTGGCATATGCCAGCTTCCTCGGCTCTTTGGGTTTATGGTCTCGAGTCCTGAATTTGGGTTTTTGGGGGCTTGGAGAGTTAACCGATACTCTTTTCCTCTTAGGGGGTTGACTACCTGCCGAGTAGGCATGATCCCATGTCAGGCTACGAGCCGACGAAGCTGATTGCAGCATAGATGGTGTGTGCGAACGAGTGATTGCTGTGGTTTCTGCATATGATTTGCGGTTGGGGAGCCTGGAGTTGCTGTCGCTTGGTAACGATTCTTCTACATTCAGTGTAGACGGGAAGTCTTTAGAGGTGTTAGGTGGGATGTTTTTTGTTTTGAATAGGTTCGCCGCCATAGCCATTCACCATAGCTTGTTTGATGTGTTTCTGCTTAAGATATTCAGGGCATCTCCTATCCGCAAGCCGAACGTTCTGTTCATTGGAATAGTGGGCACTCCCGCAATGAACGTAAGTGGGCGAAAGTTTAGTTGGGCACTCTTCCAACGAGTGCGCCTCTGCACACGATGGACAACGAATTTCCCTACTCTTACATATTTTCTTGGTATGCCCAAAACGCAGGCATCCAAAAGATTGGATTATCCTGAGGTAATAAACCTGAAGGGTGTGATGATTGTAAAATATATTGACAGAGGTTGGGGGGATCGTCCCCCTAAAGGTTACCAAGAGAGTGTTTGTTGTCCGAGGATCTTCGATTTATTCATTCTACCTTTAGAATTTCTCGTGCCCCCTGCCTATATCCCTGACAATGGCTTTACAGCTTATTTAGTGGGATGGTATAAATCCACTAAGTTTCTCCCTAGCGAGGAAATCTGTTTGGAGGTAGCTAACGGTTTCCGTTAGCTACCTAAACCGTTTGGAAAATAACCGCGACCCTGTTTCTACTACTGCTCTCTATTTTGATGACATTCTTCACATTAGATTTCAATAATTTGTTTCCCAGAGACTTGGAGTTGATAGAGCTTACTGAATTAGCCGGTTCAACGTAAATTATATAAGGGCCTTCATCGTTCTTACGAGTGAGGGGACGGAAAGGGGGGTCTGACAACGAGGAGATAGCCGCAAGCAAGTCCCAATCGGGGAGATTGAAGTTAAGCCAGTACTGCACTCCACGACTGTACGCGACGTACTCCTAGAAAGTTATGTCAGAATATAACATGATACAACTGAACAAATCAAAACATAATAGAACAAAAAAAAGAATATCAGAAAAAAATATTTATTAAAATTCCAGTAAATTAATTATAAATTATATTTTAACACATCCATCCATTATCATGACACAATTATCACAAATTTAAAATAAATATTAATTATAATATTCAAAAACACATTGTAGTTTACGCAATTACATGAAAAATGTATGCAGATATTTAATATATTTTTCATATCATGTGCATGTAATTACTATCTGTACTGATAGTTGTCCATATTCCTTCAAGTATTCATTAGTTTATAAATATATAATGGGAGGATAATGATCTATAATACTAATATAATACTAGCCGCGTTTCTGTAGCCAATCAATCACTGAATTGACACATTGTCAATGGGTTATTGTTGTACCATGTTCTATTTGGGGAGGTCGATTATAACATGTAGGTTACTTAAGTTGTTAAGATTTTTCCTTTTCAATGATTATAAATAAAACAAGCAGAATAATTAATTTATAATTTTTAATATTCATTTTATTTACAAATTTGTATTTCCCTATCGATCTATGTCTTTCTGACTAATTTTTCGTAATTGTAGAAAATTGAGAATATTTAGGCTTATTTAAAGTAAGGAAATATAAATTGTACTCATTATATTTGAACAGCCAGTTAACATTTTAATATATAGTCTGTTATCAAACAGAATACTTCCAAAACAGAACAGCGATAAATTAGAAAATCGGATAAATAAAATACAAAAAATATTGAAAATAATCACTTCTAATTAAAATATTTCATAAAAAAAATCAATGCCAATACTACAAGTACACCGAAGGAGCGCTAGTACTTGAATACTCTTACTATGGACATCTTACAAGAAAATTGTCAAGTACATATATTTAATTACAGATATCCGAATCATCTACGCCCAATGAGAACAGTTCGTTAACAGCATTTGCTTTTGTCCTTCTAAGAAGTCAATTATAATGGGATGCAATGAAGAAGATACGGGAGTAACCGTTACCGCGGTCACTTAAACATCGGAAGGCAAAGGGAAGTAGCAAATCCGTTTAATAATTAGTTACGGACAGAATTGCCACCCATGAAATTCGTGCAACAGAGCAGTTGGAAATAAATAGTGATTCCGTCACACACTCTACTTGAACAAGTCGTGTCGTGAAGATGTCCAGTTCTTTGAGCTACCAAAGCACTCCGCACATTGGAACCGCAACGAATCTCCTAATCGACAGATTCCATCATCCTCCGAGCGGCGAAGAACACGTCTACAAGTATGTACAAGTACTAAGAAACTAATTCACTAGCACTAAACTGATCATCTGCACTGAACTGTTTAGGACTAAAGGAAAGAATAAGAACAATGTAGCTCTATCAGCGCTTACTCTGCTAGCGTTCCTGTTCTTCCTAAACATCCTGCAGAACTGCATCCAGGATCACATGGACGATATGAAGGGTAAAGGGAAGGGCATGCAGATGGTGCCGCAGCAGGTCATGATGCCCGTGACTTTGGCCCCGGCTAGAAGAGAGGCGCAACGGAAGGACGTGATCGAGAAGAAGGGCGATAATTTGGATGAGGAGGATGTGAAACCAGAAGACAATTCCGAAGGGAAGAATAGGAAGCACAGAAAGCAGATGAAGAACTCGAACTGATACCACGTATTGTTCATTTATTTATTAGATTTTAGCACGTATAAATATTTATAAATCAACAAATTGCATTTAGTTAACAATTTAGTATAAAGTAAAAATTACTACATCCATATTCTACTAAATGCGCAAATAACTTGTTTAATTTTGACTATAGTCTTTTACCGTGGTACCTGTATTACAAGTTATTTGGCAAATATCGCGTAATGATTTGAATGTACACTCCATCATTTCTGATATTATTTTAAAAGAAACTAATGAGGAAGCATATGAATCAGGAGAAGTATACGAACTAATTCAAGTATTTTTCTATATTTATTCATCCATGGCATACATTTTTGCCATACTTATGTACACAAAAAATAATGCATCGATTAAACTTAATAGAAAGTATTAATAACTATCTAGAATATTGTAAATCGCATAATACTTCTTTGCACCTCACTATCTTCACATGTTCACATTTTCGATATAAGATTTCCGATAAGTCAACTTATAAGGTATGTATCAATTAGTACCTTTTTACGCGCTCTATGTACTTGGTTCTGGTTAGGGCACTGCTGCCTTGCGTAGGGTCCATCATTCTGTCCCAGTCCGTCTGCCCGACGACGAAGCCGATCGCCCTCATCTTTTCCTGTTTCTTCCTTTCCTCCAGATCGGCCCAGCGCACCTATAACATCCCATTTGCAGATACTCAACAAACATTTGCGCGTATAGAATACATCTCGAAATCTTGACCTTCGCCAGCCTTTCAAGACCGTTCATCTACAGTCTCGCACAATAGCTACGACGATAATATTTATATATAGACAATAATATACATAGATAACAAAATTGTGGACATGATTTACCTCAGAGTTTTTGCATCCTACTTCAATTTCTTGAACGCAAGAAAAAGTAATATTCACATCAAAAGATTACACAAATTCAATATTCGCATGCAAATTTAAGGGTTAAGTTATAAAAACATAGCTGATAGCTGATTGTTTTAGTGTTTCTTAGTAAACTAGACAATTGCGATGAGTAAATATGTATGTAAGTAGAAAATATAGTCTTCTGGGAATATAGTTAAAGTGTCATCCACTAGTAGGTTGCTCAGTTGTTAGTTCCAACAGAGTGTAAAATTACCTGCATCCTGTTTTATATTTATATTACTAAGACTAAGAGAGTTGAAGAATGCGATGATAAAGACTTACTCGTTTTTGTCCGGGTATGGATCCCCGCTTTGGTGCCCATCCGTCGTCCAATTGGAGGTAGTCTTCCATTGTTCCTGCATGTCGCAACGGTTTGCTCGTCCCATCGAGCTTGGCTGCAATCGAGAATAAGAGAAACAAAAAACAAACAAACTTTTAGATTTCCGTGAAAACATTCGCGCGATTGGCACAAAAAATTGTAATGTATCAAAAAAATCCCCTTAAAATAGAAAAAAGGGAGAAGAATCTCGCATAGGAGAACATCAATAGCAACACCAGACAAACTGTCAAGTATACATATATTTATATTCATTTGATGTAAAGACACCAAGATGTAGCGCTGAAAGAGATATGATTTTTCATTCTTTTGACTAATATCAAGTATATTGTTGTCGTTGTTCAAACTTGGTAAGGTTTTAATTTTCTATACAATAAAAAATAATTATACTGCAGTAATAATAACAAAACGAGTAATCATATAAATGTTGTATGTTTTCATTTTTGTTTTGTTCTTTTTGTTAACATGTAAAATACAAATATAATACTTTATTTTGAACTTTTTACGTATTGGAACTTACCGAGGTTATTAATGGAACACTCGAAATTGTCCCACTTGCTGCTATTACACGCTTGTTCCTGAAGAATGTCTCTTACATTTAGTACACTTACAAGTAGATATTATATGTGTGACTGAACGAAGAATACACGTATGCATTTGTATACGAAGGATTGAAGTCAATACAGTCGAGAATTGATCGAGTGCAGTTTGAGTCGGGGTTGATTGAGGGGTTTTATTTTGGAGCGCTGAAAAGATGATTAGCAAACGACTTTCGGGGGTCGGTTGGGTCAGGTCAGGAGGAAAATAACGGGTCGTCAAATATAATAATAATACTCATACGCACATGTAACAAAAATATTATCACCAATCTCTCTTCTTCGAGAATACTACACCTTGCAAATCAACTTACCTCGCCTTCGACGTCCATATCGTCAAAATTGTCATTAGGCGAGTCGATTTCCTCCATTTCCACCTCTGGTATAGAACCTGCCTGGATCAAATTGGTCGCATCCAGAGTAGCATAATGCACGGGCGTCTCTTCCCATTCGGCCACCGTATTTTCGATCTCCAACAAAGATCTGTTGTGCGTGTTTCGCTTGCTGCACAACTGCACGTCCAATTCCAACTGGCACACATATACCTTTCAACAACAAAAACATTCATCATCCGTCATCTTATATTATATTCCGATTCTCACCTGGAAGCCGTTTTGCTTGGCAAAACTCCACATCTCGCTAAAGTATTTTACTTTGTCGTTCATGTTATCAACGACGATGAACGGGAAGTAACCGTCGGTGATGGTTTTCTTAAACGATTTCAGCAGAGAGGTTCGGTACGAGAGTTCCATGCATTCCTCGTACTCGTAGACCATTTCCTTCACCTTGATTTTCTTTCCATCCTCTGTGACCTCTCTCTCTTGCTCCACCATAAAATAATCGTCCAACGATAGAATTCTCGGAGCAGAACCTCCGTTCTCCACCTGCGATTATAAAACATTGCACACTTTGCACGCTCAGTACACACGCACTCACCTCTCTATCCTTAATTAATTTAGCTAGAAAGGTTTTTCCGCTACCAGACGGTCCGCGCAATATAATTACTATCCTAGGCGGCCGTCTGAATCTTCCCGGAGGATTCAACACATCATCTATCAACGTAACGTGTTGTTTCTCTACGTGAGACTTTTCAGTATTGGATTTCGGCGGAGGAACCGATTCGCGGCCCCTGTATTCGAAATCGTGGTCTCCACCTCGTCGCACTCTCGAATAATCCTCGTGCTGTCTGTTGGCAACCTGCTGCTCGTCTTGAGGGAATCGATTGTAGCGAGCCGAGGGTTCGAAACGCCTCTCCTCGTAGCGATTGCGACTGTTGTACGAATCATATCCGTCGTAGCGATGCGAACGGTAGTCGTAACGATCTGCGGGAGGCGGAGGGTAACGACAGTAGGGCTGCTTTACGATGGATGGTTCAAATTCCACGATGTTCTTGAAGGTTTCGTGAAGCCATTTTGGCCTTTCAGGCAGTGGGATCCGGTTCACCGACTTGTGCCGATAGTCAAACAGGCGAGGTGGTTCAACATTTACCTCAAAATCTACAAAAATACACGAGTATTTAAAATATCCTCGTCAAATTGATAGTAATATCAAAATCATTTAAGTCCAGATTTCAATAAAAGAATACACTAAATTAGATAAAAGAGAAATATAAAAACTGACATTGAAATAATTAATTTCAATCAATATATTAAAGGAAAATTATAGGATATTCATTCATCATAACAAAGTGGAGAAGATAAATAAGTCGAAAAATTGATAAACTGACATAGAATAGATAATAGTAGAGTAACACAATACGTCATAAAGTTCATTACCCAATTAATGTTATAATATTGAATAATAAAATTGAACATACACATTGTAAATAAAAGAAAGACTTTTTTTTTGAAAATTTTTCAGTATTTTTTTTATGAATACAGTATAAATTTACTTACCAGTCTTTTTTGTTTTGTGGTCGTAGTTCACTACATTCTCAATGATCAAAATATCATCTTCTTTGGGTGGAGGCGCCGGGGACTCTTTCCTACTATTGCTGCTATAAATACTTTCGCTTTTGGACTGTTGTTGCCGTTTCACATCTTCGACTGGTTTGTTTGTTCCGTGTCTGCTGCTGTCTAATCCGCCGTTATTACTTCTATTATCGAAACTGTTATTCTTGCTATTGTTGTCGAAACTGTTGCTCCTATTGTTATCGCTGAATCTGGTTTCACTATAGTTATCCTGAGAGTACCTATTGTTGTCTGACATGTTTGTTGAAGTGTTGTCGTGGTTGTAATCGTTACTCTCGTCCCGGAAATTGTCGTATTTAAAATTGTTCTGGCTATAGTTATTCGAACCTTCATCGTAGTTGTTTCTGTAAGTATCGTCGTGACTGAAGCTGGAGCGGCTGGCCTCATCGAAAGGAATGGGTGGCGGCGGATTTGTCACCTCCAAAGGTTTGCTCATGTTTTTCGTGACAAGGCTCAGCATGTTTAAGAGCTTTTGATCCCCCAGTATGGAATTGATATTCTTGGAGAGCGCCTCCAGGTCTGGGCCTTTGGGTTTTGGAACATCGTCGAGCACCACCACGTCCTTGTCCCTTTGATCATCTACTTCAGTTCCAACGAGATCCAAACCAGGTATGCCGTCCAAAGTGCCTGTTGAGAACAAATTGACGTCCTCCTGGTTGTTGGAGGTGGACGTGTGCGGATAGCTGTGATAATCCATAGGTTTGGGTTTAAACTGCAAGGGCTCATTGTTGATGTTGGGAGGCGGTTTGCTCACGTTCGGTACGAATGTCGTCTTTGCGTCGGAAGTGCCTAGACGTCTCTTCCTCATCTGCTCGCGTCTATCAAGCAACTGATTTCTCCATGCCTCCCACTTTTTCTCGTATTCCTTGTACTGTGCCTTGTCCGGATGGTCCTGATTCTGTTCCTTCCATTTGTTGAACTGTGCCTCCCATTCGGCAAATTGCTTCATAAACTTCTTCTCGGACTCTGAGAGGTCCTCGGTAGCAGTTTGCGGAGGCGGTGGAGGCGGAGCATTAGTCTGCACCTGCTGCTGCCAATTCTGCTCGAATTTGTTGCGTTTAACTTCTTGATGGTAGTTAGATTGCGTGCTGTAGGGCCGTTTCGTGCCCATCTCAGGTTTGTCATTGAGATGCTGCTTCCACGGTTGCTCCGTACTGTAACCGGTTGGAGGTTTTGGGGGTGGCGCCGTAGTATAACCTGTGTAACCACCTCCGACGGCTTTAACCTGATAAACGTTAGTTGTATGTTCCTCTGGTGGCGGAAGAGGAGGCTGTTTCATCTCCTGCGGCAGTGGAGGCGGCGCCGACGTTGTCTGTACCTGACTAGTCATCGCGCTCAGCGTCTTCTGATACTAAAACCAAACCAAATACAAGGGTGTTTAAATAAACACAGCTCCTCCGGAGAATTGCGCGCATTGCTTGCTTGTTTGCGTACTTCCGCTCCATATTGCTGATGCCATTGCTGGTACTGCTGCTGCCATTGGGCCCACTGTTGCCAGTTCTGTTGTTGGACCTGCTGCCACTGTTCCTGCGTATACTGAATTCCCATCGCAGTTGAGGGGGTGGCGGTTCCGCCACCACTAGCTGCATTCATCAGAGGCAACGCCCCTACACCCTGAGAGACATTCCCTTGCCATTGCGGCCAAGACATCCTAAAACTTCTTCAGTTACAGAAACACGAGATGCCTTTCGCTACCTCCAAAGGAAGTAACGTGAACGACTTACCTCCTATCAAAATAGATCAAGAGACAAAACAAATAAATCAATTAATACTACGACAGTAAAAATGAAAGTTACCGCACTAATAAATATGACATCATTGTCTGTACGTATTAAATAATAAGACCTCCCAAATTCCAGAGTTTGATATATAGAGTTAATGGTTGTGTTAATGAGAGACAATATGCGACAATATTGAAAAGAATTGAGCTCCTCAAATTCTCAGTTTAAATTAACTTACTGCAAAATACAGTTTGTTATTATAAACAAATTGTGAGATGATACAACCTTACATATCGCTTAAGGTCGTTTTATACAAAGCACGAAACCAAGAAATGCTTGGTTTCAGATGCACAATCACGAACATTGATAATCATACAAGTTCACAAAAATAATTATTAGATTGCAATTCTATTTATTCAAATATTTCAATCTTCACTTCAATAAGTGATTAAAACATAATAATAACCTATTTCAGTGAGTAAAATATAATGTAGAATAATATTTGAATACAATGATCAAAATAATGGTCATTTTAAATTAAAATGATTATTGTTATAAAACTTGTTAAAACGACAAATAAGTGCAATATCTTATTATCAACAAGTTTTTATTCAATTGGATAAAATAAATGTCTTAATTAACATATATAATTGTAGTAAAATACACATGGAATCTTATTCTATAACAGTTTTATACTTGGGTCCAGACAAATAAATGTCTATAAGAATAGAAAGTAACTCACTTCAAAAAGTGATTGAAATAAAGAACTATTTCTAGTCACTAATTGAAACCACTCTAATGATCTAAAATAAAAATAATTTTAGATGAAAAAACAAATAAAGGGATTTCACATAAGTTGCCGAGTCCAAAATAAAATGGCAATATTTTATTATCAAGAATGTAATCTATTGGATAGAATGTTTCTTAAGATTGCAGTGAGAATAGCCAACAATAAATTGTAACACATTTTATTCATTATTTCAAATAGAAACTTACAAGACACATGTAGATAATATTGAAGTAATAAAAAGAATATAAAGAAATATCACTAGGAACAAGGTAGGATATAATCATTCATAAACAACATTCTGATTTCCAGGAAAATTGTAATTTTATTCAAATAGGTGAAAGCATTTTTTTTAAAAAATCTTCAGCCAATAAAATCAGTATTCTTACAGAATCTGTTCTATTAATGTAGTGAAAAGTAAACACTACATGTAAAGTGTTGATATTGTAAAAATAAAATTTTGAGGTCAATAAGGATAACTAAATGGTGATAATATTGTTTTAAACAGTTATTCATATCAATATTCAATCTAATATCGAAATTAATAATGCTCCAATAAAATATAGGCAACCAAACATACGTGTAATATCTATAGGAAATTGCTACCTATAGATGTTATCAGGTCGTCTATGCAAAATCAATAAACAAGCGCAAAGGGCGTATGGAAGTATCAGTTCATCAAGGAAAAGTATCCAAAAATAAACTGATTATTACTCAAAACAAATAAATTATTCTTTTCAATATCGTCATATATATACATATACTAAGTATGCATCCAAATTGCATGTAAATGTATTGTAACCAAGCTCACCTTAGATTGCCAAAGCACTTGGTTGACTTCTGGAAAACTCGTTATTTACTGCTATGCAAAGATTTTCCTCTATTATCACGAAAATACGGAATTGAAGCAAACCGCTGACATTTTCTTTCACAAACACGAACACACGGGTACCAACTGACGTTTGCTTCAAATTGTTTTTCCTTCATGTTCAGACAGCCACTGCTGCCAACCGAGGTAGTTTCTAACCTCGATATTAAACTAATTTGATTTTCGGTTTTTAGTTCATTTCCTTACTTAACAGTGAAAATGTTCAAGAAGTAATCGGAGATAAATAAAAGTAACGCTGGCAGAATTTAATACATTGTTTCTAGGTTCGACGAGAAAGAGAATATTTCTGGTGTGCTGCAGCTCAAGTCCTCTGTACAGAAGGGTATCCGTAGCAAACTGCTGGACTGCTACCCTCACCTGGAGAACTACCTTGATCTTATTTTACCTAAGAAAGATAACTTGAGAATAATCAAATGGTGATAACCGTTTCTGACTTTTCAAACTCCCCAAATACAAATGTACATATTTCATTTACAGCCACGACCATATTGAAATCATAGTCAACACCAATGGGGATTTGCTGTTCTTCAGGCATAGGGAGGGCCAATGGATGCCAACGCTCAGATTACTTCATAAATGTATGTTTCGTACATAATATTGAACATGATGCTCATATTGTATTTGATTTTAGACCCATTCTTTTTACCTATGCAACAAGTTGATAAAGGTGCTATTAGATTTGTCTTGAGTGGGGCCAACATTATGTGCCCAGGTTTGACTTCACCTGGTGCTAAAATGACTGATGTTCCTAAAGGGACTATTGTTGTAAGTTGTTAGCAATAACAAAGTAGACTTGTCCAGTAAATTGTTCAATTAATGTAATTATTATTTTTGTTATTACAGGCTATTATGGCTGAAGGCAAGGATCATGCTTTAGCTATTGGAATTACCACATTATCAACTGATGATATGTATGCACTTGCACACTGTGAATCAATTGAATACATAACATTAAATTTTCTTTTTTGTTTGTGATTGCAGTGCTAAAGTGAATAAGGGAATTGGTGTTGAGAATTGCCATTATTTGAACGACGGACTCTGGCAGATGAAACCCGTCAAGTGATCGTATCCATGAATATATTTTGTACCAATGGACATTAAAGCGATTTCTTTTTGTACCACACAATAAATAAGCGAAAATATAAAATGTAATTTATTTACTATGAGCAGCGTTTTTCTTAATAATAATAATATTTATTGCAACAATAAATTATAAAATAAAAACAACTCAATATAATGAAGGGTGTCTTATAAAATTGAATTTTTGCGATCATCAGTAACCATGCAGTTTTTTAAACAACGAATGTTGTTTGTTTATTTAAACAAAAACAAAATTGAAAATGAAAGTTCTATTTCCATGTTCTGAAACTGATAATTTTACTGATTATATTTGAATTTGCTCTATATACTATTTTATGTCTATTTATATGCAGTCAAATAATTATTTAATTTACTTAATAATTGTTGAAAAAATGTCTTTCGTTTGATCGTTTCATGTAGTTTTTGAGGTGTCCTCGGCGTCGTTATTTTCGCAAATTGCTAAAAATAAAGAACCGGAACTGATAGTCTTATCATCGTAATTCATAAACGAGTTTAGCATTAGCCGGATCTGCGATCCGTTGGCGCGGAAAAAGCGAACGGGAAAAGCGGTTTTCGTAGATGAGAAGATTATGAACACGAGTCGTACCCATATGCAAATTACTAATCATTTGAATTAATGTCTAGATTGCAATGAGCGTGAGCGAACAATTGCCACCAACGCGATAAACAAATGATTGCTGCCCTTAATTAAATCAATCTCGTTCTGATGTATGCATATTCAGATATATTTATATATTTGTTAAAATCTATGTATCACAAGGTCATCACTGTCAGTTTCTGATTCTTTTTTCTCTTCTATTTTTATCTAAAATCCTTAAAATATAAATATAACACAGTTTTTTCATGAGATGCAAAACAAACATATTTTTCAATGACCACGAATTTTTGTCTCGTATCTAATTAATACAGTAATAATCTTAATCTAATTGATTAATTAATCAAATCTTTATAATTATTAAAAAAAATGTAATTGTAGTAGTAGTAATGAGAATATCGCAGGTCACTAACATTCTTTTCTTTCGTCGATTTCTCTATTGTACACGGTGAAACAATTAAAAAAACAACAATAAAACATTTACAATAACGATAATAACACAGCTTGTCTGATTAAGTCCTATACAAAGAATTAAAACTTAATAAATTTCACGTTTAAAATTTCACTAAAAAAACAAACAGGAATGCCCCTTTTCTGCTGCATCGCTGCACCATGACTAGTTAACAAAATACAAATCGAATTCAACGAAATGGGTCTCCTATGATTCCCTGATCCCCAATTTGTCTTATGCTCTTCTTTCGCTTTCAGTTCTCGTTCCATTTTCCTCGTGTTATTACTTGTCCTCCTATTTTTTTTCCGCACGACCACTTCCAAACTTGGCCTATCTATTCGTTTCTCTTGTACGATCACATTATACGTTTAATAAATACTGATTATCACATATTACAATAGTGTAAATATTGTTTGTTTTGGCTAGAGGCAGAACGTCCTCAATTCGTCCTGGGTGCAGGGCTTTTTGCAGCACTCGTCGGAGACCCCCTCCCTTCGATGCCTCTTGTACCTTAAGAACATCGACGTCTCCTCCTTGCGCTTGAATGGGAATTGCAGCTGACCTCTGTTGATCAGTATGTTTCGTCTAGTTTCATCTGAAATTCAGGAATGAAGTAAGAAGTAAATCAAAATTACTACCGTGAACAGTTGAAGATGTTTGATAACTCACTTCCTTTGTAGGGATTGTACTTTCCGTCGCAGATAACCGAAATGGCAGTTGCCAAGTAACTGCCGCACACCTGCAGCTGCTCCGGAAGATTTTTCAGCTGAGGCGTTGTCGGATAGCACTGAATGTAGCTGTATCCTACCAAGATGATCAGAATCAGTAACACTTCTTGACCCATCTGCAATTAAAGAAGCGGAAAAGAAAAATGTAACGATTACATAATATATTGGAGAAACACGATTCTTCAAGTTATGTTGATGGCACAAATGTCACAATATCATCTTGATGAAACTTTGATTTATATAATAAAAATTAATATTCAGATATTTGCTAATAATTATTGAAATTTTAAAAATTGGGATTATTTCAGTCGAAATCTTAAATAATCGAAGTAAATTTTATAGAAATTTTAAATGTTTGCTTTTGTTTGAAAAAAAAACAATATGTATTTGTTTTGAGTTAAAAAAGGAAAGGATAAAAAAACAAAGAGAGAGAGATAATAATAAGTAATCAAACTGTGCGATAAGTATAATTAATTATAGAACGAATGTGTATAATTATAATTAAAAATGTATGTGTGTTGTGTGAATATGTTGTCTATCTAATTGCGATATTCATGGATCACAGGTGGAAAGTTTATTAGATATATGTTGTACGTTGCCAAGCTGATAAGAGGTTATAGGTTGAATTCGCGCTTGCCTCCGCTAAGTTGCGATATAATTTATCATCGTTAGTTTTAATTGGAAAAAGTAAAATTCCATGAAAATACTATGAGCATCTTAGATCCAAGACCTAAAGTTGATATCTTAAAAGTTTTTTTACCTTTGCAATTCGCTTGGCAATAGTTGATCATGTAACGAGTATTGAGTTTCAAGAACGAAACTCCTTCACTTGTGTTGCGAAAACTTTCAGCCAACATTCGTCCGGCCGTGAGATAAGTTTTCTAAAATCCTGCGGCCCCTCACTTATCCTCTTTATTATTTTTTTTGCACAATTATAATTTATAGTAATATTTAATTCAGAGATTCCTTCTTTTCGTCCGAATGCAACAGATGCGACAAGTTTATTTTGAAGATGACCGAAGGAAAGGAATTAATAATTAGCACAGCACTCGATCGTTACAACTAAGTCAGAGTCGTAGTGATGAAGACCTTAAATAGCGTTGGACTCCCCGTCACTTTAATAATAACAAAATTTCTCCACGATAGATGTAATGTCGTTGCGCCCCCACCGCCTCCCGTTTATGTCTGTTGCACACAAATTGCGTCCCCTCCAAACGCTTATGAACCGCCGACCCCCAACTCACAATTCCAACTCCCATCAATAATATCTATACGTACAGTGTGCTGCGTGTCCCCAACCATCCTCCGGGCTCCTGTCTTCTTGGAAGCATATTTTCCTACTGATAATTTATTTTTAGATAAGTTGTTTATTTCAAATTTGACCCACCTTTGGCTTAAACTATGTTTCAGTTAGCATATTTTGCAAAATTATTAAACAAACTGACACAATACAACTTTATAAATTTTATATTTAGAAATCACTATCTCTTCATTCAATGACACCACTCAATAATGGAAATGAAACTTAGCATTGAATCTTATACTCATTATGAAATGTATTAATTTGGTTGATAAGAATACACAGAAATTCCAAAATTCATTTTTTTCATCTACCCTGTGTCATATTTAGACAGAGGCGTCTCTAGGGCTGATTAATCGAGCCAATGCCCGATGCCCCGCGAAATTTGGGCCCACAAACAGTGTTAGTTACCCTCTCATTGTTTTTTTAAGTTGCATTTTATATTTATGCCCACAATCCAAATGATGGCCTTGTATTTTGTACAAAAACTGACAAATGTTCCCGAAGAAAAATCCACAAAAAGACTGTTATAAGAGAATAAATAAAAGAGAACAAGAGTATGGAATGAATTATCTTATTATCATTTTTTTTTTATGGGAAAATATATTTCGCTTAACGTGGAACGTTATGAGTAAGATTCTGGAATGAATTATGATCATTATGCGAGGTTCCAGTGTACTTAACTGTTACTGTCACTGATTAAATTACACTAAACGTTGAGAATAAACACTATGTATACAGGACTTCCAATATGATACAACTAATGCAGATAATAATAATTGCAAATATTAATAATAGAGGAAACATGGAAAAAGCTGCAAATAATGCACAGTAATTAGTACTTAATGAAAGCGGTACGTTTTCCTTTCGCCTAGATCTCATTTTTTTTTCTCTCCTCGCAATAAGTTCGCGGACAAATTATTTCCGCGTTATAATTGCATCCAGACCGCAAATGTGAAGCAAATTGTACAATTGCTTTCTATTGTATAATAAGAAACATGACCATCTATTTCTTAATCACTTACTTAATTTATGTTTTAGTTATTTCATTCAATTTAATTAATTAAATAAAAGTAAAAGGGTGGAAAAGGCGGTATTGACCTTAGAAATTAACTTTTTGTTTTTATTATTATTAAAAGAAAAATGCATCGTAAACATATTTGAAGTATTTAATTTATGATACGTATTGTACAATAGTGAAATCGTCGAATTTCTGTTTTGTTTTACAATATTTTGAATGCAGTGTAGAAACAATTGTTTTCTTCGCGTATCGCGTTCATATGTCAAAGACTCGTTTATTTTTTCATAATCGAGATGAAAAACAAATAATTATCTTGTTGTTCAGCTCAGCGAACTATAAATATTGCGAGATCCGCATGATCACTATCAACTTCACTCGTTTAACGAACTTTCCGATCATGAGAATGAGACGAAAAAAAATGTAATTGAAAATTAAAAAGAAATAAAAAATCTCTATCTATATCTAAACAATTGAAGAAACGCGTTTTGTTATAATTCGATTACTTGTGAAAAATTAAAAAAAAGGCCGGAAGACGAGTGAAAATAATCCAGCGATTCGTGGTATCGTAAATTTGTGGAAAGTGTGTGTATATTTTCGCGACCTTTGCGCGTAGAATCTACTTTCAGAGGCCAATGTCAGGAACACGGAACATATTTCTTATCGCATTTGTATTTATTTTGATCTTTTTTTTAAATATAAATTTAATATTACATGTGCACGCGATAAAATAGAGGTTAGGTTAAATTAGGTTAGATTTAAATTTGACATATTGGTAATGGTTTTTTGTGTTCAAAGAATCGTATGTAAATAATGCAGTAATAAAAGTTGATATTTAAGTTGTAGTTATCGACAATAAATAGCGTTAAATGTATTGTTGTTGCTTGTACTTTTTTCTCTTTTTCGTTCAACGACGATTTCAAAATACACTTATTATCTTGACGGATAACAAAAACATCTTGTTGTTGTTATTGCGCCTCGAAACTACAAATACTGTGGAATCCGGAAGGCGTTTGTTATCTGAGAAATGAGAAACTTATTTACAACTTACACCTCATCGATGTCCATTTTCGATGAAGTTATATTGACAATCATAGAAAATAGCAACTTGTTCACATTGTTTTGGTTGTTATCAATTGGTACAGACTTGGTCTATAAATAGCAGGACCAAAGCGGTCTACACAGTTTTTTTTCGTTATATAATTAGATGCGCTATAAAGTAGTCTCTGCTCGGTCTAGCGCTAACAAGTTATTGCTTTTCTATAAATAATCCATTATAGACATGAGAATCCAACGACCCTATGCACTCAATTATATTGTTTTGTTTATACCGTATCTTCTATATAAACACGAGAACGCATACAGAGAAAGACTGCTCTTACGTTATGATTAAAATGCACTCAATAGTCGAACAATTAGGCCACAACCATGATATACATATATTTATAACACGGGCCACAACTACCTGAATATTATGATCTACTCATATGTAATCTCAATATTATAACTCTACATTACAGTATTTAAAAGAGTTGATAGTAATTGAGCAGAGCAGAAACAAGAGTGCACTTCTATCGCCGTTTCTGACCTACGTTTCGGTCGCCAATTTTTTTTCACGCTACTTTATTCGTTTATAAATGCTGTAATTTATGCCTTTCATTTCCGATAAAATTCTTCAGCGGATCAGACTTTTGAACTCTTGACATGCATAAGTTATATTTGTTGCAAATACAATCCGCTGTATCCATACGCGCGCGGATTAAAAATAGTGTTTAAAAACTATTTTCAAAGAACAAAACTCAGACGATTACGTAATCCACCACTGGTAGAAGCAATTCTCCTTTTTTTTCATATTTATTTTCTTCGGTTTGGCTCGTGTCTATTTAATTATCGGTGATTGATTTGCCGAAACGGGTTCAAAATAACTCAGAGATAAATCCAATATAGATATAATCATCTTAGGATGATGATTGATGGTTGCTATATTTGGACGACGGGAACTCCGCATACAAAGTCGACGTAAATAAAATGCTCTCCGCCCGTTAACGCAATTGTTGTTACTTAGATACAGCGCGAAAAACATATTTTTTTGTTATTCGTTTCTCCTTTTGAATAAATTAATCAATTGGTAGAGTGTAAATAAAGTTTGTTTATTGAAGACAACAAGTCGACTGTGAACTGCTTGCATTTTTGCAAATTGCGATTGACCTCTCAATTTCAACTTCATTTTTTTTAAAGTTTAATATTTGTCAAATTGCATTTGAAGTTTGTGTGTAAGAAATTTAAACCAATTTATCAATTTTACATATTCGGCGAAAGTAAGTGTCAAATATGATTACAATTCTACAATTTTCTTCTTTTCATTTAATATTGAAAAACTTTTAAATAGTTCAATCTAAATGTTAGTAAATTTCAAGTTTGATTTTTCTATCTCTATAGATATCAATCTTTGATGGTGTCCTAAACATTTTTGTCCCGTAGACATTAAATAATTTCCATTTTATTTAACTCACTAGAATCTAGTGAGTTAAATGTTAAATAACTTTATATTCATTTTTTGGTGTAACTCCTATCAAAAACTTTCTCGCGATAGTCATGCATCATATGAATCAGGTAAGTCTTTTTTTAAACTGCATCTTAAATTCTTCTTTTAACATGACTTACGTTTCTTGTCATCATATGGATTGATATTCCACTGTGGTATTTCTATAGTCAATACATCTTCATACTTAGTTTCATCATCCTGGTAGTTTGTCTGCACGAAATTTGGATAATTCGCGTCATCCAATGTTTTGATATACAACACTTTGGGAATGACTGTACTAAACAAACTCTAGGTTGATGGTAACACGCATCGTAAATTTAACCAATTTTTGGGTTTGACAAGATTAAATGAGTGTCATTTTATTAAATTTATTTTTATGTTTTACATGTGTCAATACATAATACCAGATGATAATATAAAGCGTAATTATACAAATACAGTGGAACCTCGCTTAACGAACATAATCCGTTCTGGATTTTGTGAAATACTCGTATAGTGAAACAATTTTCCCCATATGTAACTTGGTCTTGTTTTTTAATGATTTTGCTTTTGATATCTATGTTTATTTTTATTCTTTGGATTTTTATGCAAATGTTATTAAATTTTGCACAAAAAATCACAAATAACGTCCTAAGTTTGGAAATATGTGTGATCACAAAACAACACTATGAAGAAACTAAAATGACTACTAACACCAGGAACAGAAATGCTCGTTATGTGAGGTTTCACTATATAGTGGAACCTCGCTTAACGAGTTTAATCCGTTCCAAAATTTCCGGATTTTTACTCGTATAGTGAAACATATTCAAAAATACACATAATATGTGTACACAAGTTTTAAAAATGATGTAGCTGGCGCCCAATCCGGGACTTCTCTTCTCACATAACGAGTGATATGCGAAACGTCGCTCGTTAAGTCATTTTTCTTACATTTTGCTCGTTAAGTGAGGTTCCACTGTATATGCTATATAAGTTTTTTTCTTGGTTAATAAGAAAATGTTTTAGTTTATTTATTTTATTTGTTTATTTTAACAGGGCAACAATTTTTATTATCTACAAATGCAGCGGTTATCAGTTCTAAACACGTCCTGTTGTCGCCGACGTGATTTTGGTGGCCTTTGTTAACCGAGTGCGATTTATTTGTCCTAATGTATCCGAGATTCAGCTGGTCAGGGCAGGTCAGGATACCAGATGTTGATGATGACGCCGTCGACGATGATTATTACAAGTCTAGACGTGCCGCATGTTTAGAACTAAATTTATATTCTTCTTTCTTCCTTTCCTTCTTTCGTCTACACAATAATAATAATAATAATACTAATAATCGTAATAATGCTAATAGGGATAGTATAATACAGTTCACATGGTTTATAACTAAGCACTTGTGTTTATAATGTAATATAGTATAATCATATCAGTGGTTGGTGTGAATGACTACACCGCCGTCTGAGTGTATGTGCCAGCATATAAATAAACAAATCATTGACACGACGAACCGTGCAAAATAATTGAAATCCTTAGGGACGATAAACGACTAAGTGGAACGTTTAGTCGAGGAGAACAAAGAGCAAAACATCTTAGACGGCGTCGGCCTCCTTGTTTTCATAGTAAGCTGGTGGTTGAGGCTCCACGAAAACAATCGTGTCCGGTTTGTCCACGCGTCTAGGTACGTAGTGAGGATTGTGAGGGTCGAGCATCTGGTAGAAGCTCAGCACACATACCCAGATGTACCAGAAGAAAGCTAAAAAAATATTAATTAAACTGTTAATACATTTTTTTGATTAATACTGATGTTAATTTTATAATGTAGGAATTGAAATATTTCTTCTGCGATTTACTTATTCATAACATGTGTGTATATACTCAATCTTAATCTTAATTCTAAACATTAATCAATTCATTTTTTATTTGAATCGATTTAAATTGAATAATTATTAAATATATTAATTAAATTAATTAATACCAACCATTTCTTCAAAACTATGAATATTTAATTGTTACTTACAAAGTGCGATAAGGATTATAATTGCAATAGGATTTCCGAATACGAGGATAACGCACAGGATCGTAATCAAGGCCAAACCGATGCACTGCACGATGAGATAGGGTAGCAAAAATAGTCGTTTTTCCTGTAAAATAAAAGTACATTAATTAATTTTGTTTGTATTAACAACGTATACGAAGATTATGTAGAGATACGCGAAGTGATTAAGTTAACACTTCAAAATAACGTATATGCAACCGCAATTGATCATCGAAGAAGATGATTTATTTATGGTGATCGGAGCAAACAGAACTCACCAGCACAGAACATGACAAATCAGGGCATGATAAAGCAGAACCTTATGAAGAGAACAAGACAAAACAAAGCAGCGACCATATAGAATAGCTAAAAAATCAACAGTGATAAAACAGAATAGTACTAAAACAGAACAGCATAAAAACAGGACATCGATTAAAATTAAAATTCAACTAATGTGTTAAAATTCCTAAGACACGCTATATCGTTATATTTTCGTATGAGTAATAAAAATGATAACTAATTTAAGTATGTTCACTAAATCTAAAAAAAATATTTTGAAAGACCCTTAATTTAATTTTATTTTTGTTATTGTATTAAGTTTATGTTTTGGTAATTTATTGTAGCAATAAATATTATTACTATTATTATTTTGAAACAAATATCAATTCTATGCTTTATGAATTATGTGAACAGAATTGCTTTTTATTATTTATATTTTATATAAATTTATAAAAATAATGTATATAAATGTATAAAAATAGTAAATTTAAAATTGTGTTTTAATTAAAAAGAAATCATAAATTGGGACAAGCCCGACTTCCACTGTATATATTACTAGTACATATTTTGTTGCATAATGTATTTTTGAATTTCAAAATGTATATTTATTTTGATATTGCGTACCATCCATGATAATTCATTATAAAATAAATTTATAATTATATATTTAAGCTTTATCATTTATCTATTTGAATTTTTATTGAAATATTATTATTTCTTTCCGATGTCACTGTTCGTTTTTTCGCTATTTTGTTTTAGTACTATGCTACTTTGATGCTGTTTTGTTTTGTCCTGTTCTCTTGCATGACGTTCTATTTTATCATATCCTGATATGTCATGTGTTGTTTTGGTGAGTTCTGTTTGATCATGGAACAATTTAAGAGAAAGTTTGTCACAGGGATTATGTTCTTTCGATACTTCAGGATATTCGATAAGCAAATGAAAAAATATTTATTTTGTCGTTTACCTTGTGGGCTCCGTAGGACAAGCAGCCGTTCATGATGAAGTTCAAGAGATGTCCTCCGGTTAGGAAAGTGTGCGTTGCTGCTACATCTGGATCTTCAACGATCATGCTGAGAGCTAGATGAACCATAACAATGATCCCTGACATCACCTAAACACAATCGAGCAATTGCTAAATTATTATCATACTTATTCAATATGTGTTTCTCTAAATCATACTATTATAGAGTAAATACTAATTACTTTATTATTAACTTTAAGAAAGTACAATCTATGAGTTTATTACAAATATAATTCAATTATTAGTTTCTTAAGCGTTTTTAGAAATTATTTTTTTAAGCAATGAAAGATTTTTTTCTAATGTAAATTAATTTAGATATTGATGAGGAAAATACACACTCACCAGATTGATGACGCCGAAGATGGAGATGCCCAGTCTCAAATCGTAACAGAAAAACTTCTCTACCATCTCGCGCGTTTTCCTTAATTATCTTGAAATGTTGAGGAAATTTTCCGTTTCGTATCTTGTTCTTGTCGTTGTTATTGTTGTACTTCTTTTCCGGGTATTTTTTGTAGGAATGAACTTGCGAAACGATCAGTTCGGAATGTGGGAAAACAGTGCGCACTGTTGCAGCTCAGACTCCGTCCGGATCCCCAATGATTTTCCAGTTGACGCCAGTCCGACTAGGATTTTTGGCGAGACAAGACCAGACACGACGTCTAGTCCATTCCCCATTTCCACCACATTTATCCGTTTCTTTGCGCAACAAATGAACATGATGATATTAACATACTTTCTTTTGTGGTGGTGACGGGAATTTTAATTTATATGTTCAACAAAAAATACAATTGAATTGATAGCTCAAAATTAATTATGATAATTTTCGTCTAATTATATTTATCACAAAATAACCATCATTTTTTCTTCTACTTTTATAGCTTACATTAAAAGTGTTATAAGAATATAACGAATTAGCTTCATTGGGTTAGGATATCATTTAATTCGATGAGGAAATATTAGAACACATTGCTTTTAATCGTTTATTTTAAAACTTTATTTAATTATTATTTTTTAAATCGTATTATATTTATATATATATTCATAGCATTATTTATTTTTTTCAAGAACTTTTCTCAGAACAGTTAAATAAATAAGAGTTTACACATACACAATATTATTATTAACAAAAATTTTCTTTCGCGAAATTATTTAAAAAAAATAACCCAAGAAACTTGCTTGCAGATCCCAAATATCGTCATTACTCTTTCTTGGCTTTCATTAAAAAAATCGATACAAAACAAAATAATACACAAAAAAAAAATAATTAAAAAAACTAAACAAAATACAATAATAACATACGAAAGCGCAGTTACATAGCTCTTTGGTACATTTGGCAATCGTTGGAGACAAACAATAAATAATAATAAAGTACTTTGTGCGAGAGATTCATAGAAAAATATAGAACAACAAACTGCAATTAATAATTATAATAATATGTTACAACATATGCATTTACATATTATTGTTTTGAGTGTTTTTTGTATGTGTTTGTGCGTGATTGGGTGTTTTAAAAATGGTGAAGCAGTGCCATCTACTTTATAAAACGAAAAGTTACGAAATGAAATGGTATTTACAATGATTGGGATTTGAGACGCGAGCCGCCATTTTAATTAATTCATCTTTTGTTTATAATGAATTTTAGATTGTTTCAGTCTACTGGATAGGAATGTTTTTTTTGCAGAATTTTCGCTGTTAATTTGAGAACATTAAAAAAAAACAAAAAGCTAGACAATGCAGAGTGTCGTGTCTTTGCAGACGGAGATCTGGGCCTCCTCCATGATCCTCAGACGTGGACCCAGCGGAACGCCCATCTTCTGGAGCCGCTCCTCGCTTAGGTACGGCAGCTCCACCATTCCTATCCGCTCGTTCTCGAAGACATTCGCATATTTCTGCAACAGCAACGAACAAAGATAAAACATACAATAGTATATTTGAAAAATAAATAAAATTTTAATTATATTACGTTATTGTTTATTCATTGAAAATATTTTCTAATATTAATTTAATTAATTTGGTGTGTGTACGACTTACTTCGTATCCTAACTTCCTTAAGAATAATCTCAGCAATGGCGGCTCATCTCCAAAAAACTTGGTGAGCTTCTTGACGCGCGTGGGGTTGGCCAAATTAGGTAAATCCTTGGACGTGTTCGTCGGTCTCGCAGCCGATTGCGAACGAACGTTCAGCATATTTGTTTGAGTCCGAAGAGCAGATATTTCGCCACGGATATTCTCCATCTCCTGGATCATCAGATGTTGCGTCCTCATTTCTGAAGAGAGATGCGCCACGGACCGGGCTAACGTGACCACATGGGATTCTAGCCTCTGGAAACGCTTGTTGATGCCGCGCATGTCTCGCACCTTTTTCCTATCCTCGTGCGCCCTTCTCTTGTCTCTGATCGGCCTGCTGCTCACCGAACTTGACGGAAGCGAAGACATACTGCCGTATCGGCGCTTGCTGAAGCGAGGATCCGATGGTTGATAACGACTCGCGTGCTTCTTGACGCCCAGAAGCTTCAACACCTGCAAGAAGATATTGTAGAATTGTGTTACAATCATTGGAAAACATTCGAGATTACCTCGGAATACATGCTTTCCAATCCCTCGAGCTGTTTCCTGATGGTCCGAGCATCCGTCGTGCTGATATCTCCGTCAGAGTCGCTCTGACCATCGAGCATAGATTCGAGGTCAATCGATCTCGTCGTAGTTGACGTCATATCGGCCGTGTCCAAACCGAAAACTGCAATAGAAAGTTTAGAAACAAAAACTTTAGTGCACTATATTAGATAGATTTGGCTTTTCTGACTTTTTTTCAAATCTTAATTAAAAAAATTAATTTGTCACGAATGAATTGTAATTGATAATTTTTTTTCAATCATACTTTGTTTGCTCCTCAGAATTGAGTTGTGATCGATTTTCTTGTTGCTCCGATGCTTTGTGTTGGCCGAATGCCATCTGTTTGCCATTGTCCCTGGATGTCCTTTGCTCTTGTAGTTATCGTAGTCGGGTTTGCTTCCGTATGGTAAACTGGAAATAGATTAGTCAGACAACGTTGGAAGGGAATTGTTGTATGCGAACCTGCTATGTTTGTATCTGGTTGAGTTTCTGGGCGTAATGTTCGGCGACGATTGCTCCCCAGGTGATAACGGAGGCAAAGGCGGTGTCATTGAGGATATGCTTTCGCTGAGCGTCGAGTTGGCGATGTTTGTGGCGTTCGTCGTTTGCAGTGAGAGTTCGTGAAGTTTGGGCTCGAGAATGTGTCTCAATTCTGTTTCTACGATATCGACCCATTCGGGTTCACGTCCTGCCGCTGCAGCAGTCTTCAGGTCCCTGTAGTTACCGGCCAGATGAAGTTGATGATGATGATTATCGGACTCGTTGCTGGTATCGATACCTCCAGGTCTTCGGCCGCTGCTGTAGGCGGCGCTTCCACGGCCGGAATCAGCATTCGACGACGATTGACGTTCCTTGTCGTAATCGGAGCTGGCCGCGGAACCAGTCTTACGCGAATTCCTCAACTCCTCCCCATCGCCTTTGCTCCTCTGCCCGATGTTGTAGACGCCTTCGATCTTACCGATCTCACCCTCCAGTTGCTTCCGAGGCGCTCCTTGAAGCGCCACGTTTACCTTGGATTCGTCCTTGTTGAAAGTGTCGTCCGTTTGTTGGGTGTCGCGTTGTAGAAATCCCCCATCATCACTGTCCTTCTCCTCTAGGTGACTGGTCTTCACTATTACTTCCATAAGATTTCCTTGGGAGCCCCGACGGATCGCCTGAGGTTGCGGTCTGTTATCGGGGATGTCGTTCTTGATCTCATCCTCGTAGCTGAGCTGCGGCTGCGACGCCGCACGACGCGCTTCAAAGGTTTTCTGCCGGAGGCTGTCGCGTTCTAGCTGTTGTGCGCTTCGTTGCTCTCCGACGGCTCTGCGATCCTCCAGCGATCGCCCTTCGTTCATATCCTTCGTGGGCGACTGCATCACCATGTACGAAGGTCTTTGCGAAGGTTGAAGCCTTTGCGGAGAAGACGCGTATGTCTGATGGTAGTAGTCTTCTGGGCGCGGTGCAACGAGCATCTCCTGCGATCTGGACTGCATCATCTGCTGATTCTTAAAGCCCTGATACTGTTGCGCCGCTAAGATCTGCTGCTGCACCACGTGCTGATTGTACTGGTGCTGAATGTCGACGCGCGGCTTCCCGTAGATTCCTTGCTCCCCAATCGACTTCTTCACGATAATACGGTCATCACCACCAACACCATCCTCGACGCTGCGAGCCGCATTGTTTAGACCCGACTCCTCCGGCTTATCTTCATCTTTGCTGCTCTTGAACTTACTCGAGATAATGTCCTTGATTGAGTGGTACGTCTTGGTGATGGTCTTGTTCTTCGGTTCCTTCTCGGTAGGGACGCCGGGCGTCTGCAGCGGCGCCTGTGTATAATCCTCGACTTTCTGGTATTGCTGTGGTTGTTGCTGCTTTTGAGGCGTCTTCGCAAGCTCGCCCTGCCAAGTTGACTGCCTAGGTACGGCTCCGGTGGAGAGGCCCGTCTGCGAGTTGTAGTAGTCCTGGTGGTAGCTCACCCTGTACATCGATGAAGCGTTGTTCTCCACATGGTTCTGAAAATGTGGGCGCGTATTTCAAATTTACAAATTACAACAATGGTCCCACTTACGGTCTCTGCGTTCAGCGCAAATTCGACCATTCTTCGGGAATAAAAATATAAGAAATTTAAAATGTTAAAAAACAATAAAAAAGAAAATTGCTGCTACTATGACTTCCTTGACTGGAGAAGCGGGTGCGGGCACCTTCGCATTGCCGCTCGCAGCACACTACTACTAAAAAGAAGACTATAGCAGACAAGAACAGAAGAACAAAAAAAAGAAAGGAAAAGAGTGAGGATGTGTATATTCTTTATGTGCGTGCAGAATGAGTGAGCAAGTGCCTTCATAGCTTGGAATATCAAGAATATCCCCTCTCGAGAGAGATATCAATCTTTTCCGTGGAAGTGCGGTCTCACAATTAATTCATAAATAAACATGGCACATCGGGGGCGTCCACAGAAATCCTCTGGTTCACTCGACGTCGTCGTAGTCGTCGGACGCGAATATATTTGTAAACGCGTTTCGTGCTGTATTGTGTTGTAGGCGGCAGTATGCATACGTGTGTGCTCTCTTGCATTTTAATTCAACTCAATCAAACTCAAAGAAAAGAATGAAAGAGAGTAAAGAGAGACGAAAACTAAAGACAAAACACCGAATGCCAATGACGGCGGTAATTATCCTTCAACCAAAGCAGGAAACTGTACATATCTCTCTCTCTCTCTCTCTTAGCCTACTACAGCCGCACGGTTCCACTCAATGAGCTTATCCAATAAAGCTGTGTGACTCCTCTACACACATGTATGCATACAGACAAACACAATACGAATTACATCATACAGTTTTTTATATATCTAATTTGCACTATCTTCCAACAAGAATGAACTTTCAGTTATAATGAGTCATGTAATTTATATTTCTAGACAACACATTTTTCTATATTCATTTACTTTTCACGTTATAATTCATAAAAAAAAATAATTTCTTATTTCACATGATTTATCATACTTTATTTCCATCTTTAAATATGACTTTTATGATAATTTTATAGATTAACAGAAAAAAAATGCACTAAAAAAGCCGTGTATTCTAACAGTATGCAAATAATGGAGAATATGTAATAATTACAAAATTTTACATATTTTAGATTATGAATAAACAATTTGCATACTATTTTTTTTGTTAATACAGGAAAAGATATCACAAATTAATATGTTCATATTTTAAGGCAATTTTATATATAAAAAAAAAAACTATTTTGGTATTAGTTTATAATATTTCATATATGAAAAGTTTATTTAGTATTTTCAATTTTATATATTTCATAATATAGTCCAACCTTCAGTTGTTTCAAGGAACTAATGGAAATTCATAAAAATCACAAGAAAATATTGAAAGTGTTGATAATTTTTTCTTCTATTTTTTATCAAATTTCTTAATTTCAGTTACTTAATACTTATTAAATCCTTTATATAGTTTTTTTTTTCATTTTAAATATGTTTAAAGAAAAATACAATTGTGTTAAATCATTAAATCACAAAAACGATTCCAAACTCCAAATAATAAAATTGATTTGGGCGGAAAGACCTCGGTCGTTAGCCCTTTGGCCAGCCTATTAGTATATATATTTTTATTGTATGTTAAAATTTATTTATGTATAAATTGTACTTTTTTTTCTCTTCTTCTTATGTATCGATGTTTGGCCAATAAATTATTATTATATATATAAAATTGATTACTAGTATGACAATTACGTTTGTATGAAGTTTATATATAAATAATTCAAAACAGTGTGGAAATAATGAAATAACTCCATGGATTATATTTGTATTGGAATCTAATCTAAGAAGGTGCCTGGATTTCGTAAGTTGCGGTTCGCGGAAGAGCATTGATTTGAATTCAGTTTTCGCGAAACTCGGAGAGGCGATATCGGAATGCAAAATTGAAGAAATTGAAAAATAGAAAGAAAATCGAAAAAAAAAGAATATGTGCTCTTCGTTTTGGTTTGGAAAGGCTCTTTGTTTGCAAAGTGAGTAGAGTTCGAACAGAAATAATGAAAATATCTTCGAGGGCAAAGGTCTAACGAACCTATCTTAATATAAGATTTGTTCTCGGGAATTAACATCCTCGAGCATATTTATGAACAATGCAACGGGTTTCCAAGAGGGCAATGATTACGTGCGGAAGAGAGACAGGAGAAGTGTGTGCTGCTGTTGGTGAGAAGGGACAGCGGTGATTCATGTATGCACGAAGAAGAGGAAGAGGGAATGGTTTTGAGAAAAGCGCACGCTCTTCGCTACCTGTCTTGAATACTCGAATGTAAAGTAAAATATACTACACACAGACACATATAGATTACCTGATCTGGAGTTAATATTTGCTGGTTCTGTTGCTGCTGATGATGATGATGGTTCTGGCCTTGAGTCCAAGCGGACATTTGCTTGGGCGGGACGTCCGGTGCGATCGCTCCTTTTGACCTCTTCATGTAGTCATTCAGGATCGGAATCTTCGAGTTCTTATCCGAACTGGATAAAATCACCTCTCGCTCGATCTGTAAACACAACAATCATCAACATCAAAGAAGTGAACACCCACGCAATGATAGCAAACAAACATGTGAACGAACTCGTAAAGCCCATGATCGTGCCAACCAACAATACACACGAGGGCCTTCACCTCCTATTGTTACCTTGATCTACTCACACCATGTACAAATAGCATACATGCATGCTTTCGCACTATCTTCTTTCATATAAAATCCAAGCGAGAACCAAATACCAAACTTTATACATCTTGCTAAACACAATGCATTTCTTCGTTGGTTTTATAATAATGAAATTGGACAATGACACACTTTGTCCCACAAAAAGAAATTGTATTGTAATTCGTCAACCACAAAAATTTTCCGTAAAAATTTCAGAATTTATAAAATATTTACTTGTTAGAACCAATAACCACGCTTTAGATAATTTATCAATTTTGTTGCCTGTTTCATTTATTCACAGTATTTCTTCTAATTAATTACCATTAAGTAATTTCAACCATAATTATTAATTTTGCACTTTAAATGTGCACCAATTAAAAATAGTAAATCATTTACTTTAATTTTAATTTCATTAAACTATTGAAACCGAAAAGTAGAGAAAAAAACATTATTTCTTAATTATTTCGTTACATATATTTTTTTTTTCATTAGTTTTCTTTATTTATTTTAACAAAATTATTATTCAACTGCATATTGAATTAAGGAACAATTATATGTTGTTTATTTTTTTAAAAACATAAAATTGAAAAAGATATACAAATAGGAATAATAAACATTAATAAAGATTGAAAAATAAATGTTAAACTTTTTTAAATTTTAATAATAGAAATTTTTGTTTTCGTTTAGACTCACCCGGAAATATTTAAATTATTAAATTCATAAACATTGGATGTTTTATAAGCGAGTATCGAATGATAAAAATAATATTTGTATTCCTTTGTCACGATAATACAGATAATTAAGTAATAATTTTCAAATAATGACGTATCGTCAAAAATAAATAAATAATTGGGACGATAGGCATATAAGAATGCATTTCATTTCAATATTTATTATTTACTATTTTGTGTTTAACAATATACATCGAATTACTTCAGCAATTACATTTAATCGTCATGACCTGCGCTACGTTCTTTGTTCTAAACGAATTTTTTCGTGTTTATTGTACTAAAAATTCACTAAGATTGTATGCGCGAGTTCATTTCGAGCAATTTCCCACTGGAAATGTATTTTTAAATACAGTCGAACCTCGTATAACGAGCACCTCGCATAACGAGCATTTCGCTTAACGAGCAAAATAAATTGTAACAAAAATTACTTGCATAATGGAATGCATTATCGTATATTATATTAGTTTATATGGAAAAAATTGTTTCACTATACGAGTAAAAAACCGGAAATTTGGGATCTTTAATCGAAGTTCTACTGTATAGGTATTTTTTGTGTGTTACACTTTAACATTGAAAGCTAAATAATTAAGTGAAAAGTCGAACAAAGAGTTTTTGTTTTATCTGAATGAACCATTAGCTTTGATAGTGGTTTAGATATACGAACATTTTGGGAGGAACTTATCAATTTCCCTCTATGTTAACAATACTTCCTTATAAATTGCTCTTCGCTCTTTGTTCGAAGCCAATACGAAGCGGTTCATGTTACCGATGGTACATGTTTCGCATCGCAGAGAGAATGTAGTGAGTGCACAGAAAATTCTCAATTGTGAATGAATCAAAGAATTATGGTAAGTAAAACTCGTATCGATGTCCTATATTTTATTGAATTAATCTTAAATCAGTATCAGAAATTGGTACTGTTTCTGTTGTGTATTTTGATGGTCAGAGCGCCGATCGTCGAACGCAGGGTGCAGCACTGCGGTAAGGTCTTGCTGAACACGCTGTCGCAGGCGTGCGGTGGTATGTACCCGCAGAAGAGGTCCGAACCGTACTCCGGTGAGATTAAACGAGATACCACTGTAATAGCTGTGTTCTGTCTTCTAGAAGTTTTCAGGTACGGAGACAAGTACGGTGGCAACCTTCCAGAAAAACTGCTGGATAAGCAGGAAGCGAAACGGATGAGCGTGAATCGCATTCGAAGGAACACGGGACGTCTGGTGGACGAATGTTGTCGCAAATCCTGCAGCCTCGAAGAGTTCCATAAATATTGTGCATAAAAACTATTTACCACTAGTTTTAATGTTACGACCAATCAAGAGTTGTCATAAATAAAATTATTATTAAATAAATATACATTTTATAATTTTCTAATTTAATAAATAGCCGTTTTTGAAAATTTGACATTTTATAAATGACAGATTTAAGAATTTCAGTAGTTTCCATCAAATTGCGATAAAAGTGACAGATTTAAGACAGTAACAACACTCCATCTCCAAGTGTCAACAAATTTGACATACCAATAAAATTTACTTATTTCAGATTAGAAGCCCATCATTATTATTGTGATGGAAATAAATATCTTTAGTAATGTAACATTTATTTTAAATAAAATGATTATTAATTAAATGCGTTCTTCAAAGTTTCTGAAAAGCGACAGAGCCTAAACATTTACTTATATCCAGGTCCACTTTAACCACAAGGTTAAATGTGCTACAGCCTCGTGGCACCAGCCTTTATTTTCTTATGAAGAGTGGCGCATTCTTTTTAGTAAACCTACAGTTAATTTCCTTATGAAAAGGGGCAAATTATTCTTACTAGCCAACAGGAGCCAAATTCCGCTTATATCATTCGGGTAACTTTATAAAACATGATAATTCAGCATGAAGAGCAACTAAGATGCTTAAGAAATGTGTACACAAATAAAAAAAAAAGCAAATATTATTTCATGAAAAAAAAAACAAACATATCTTTTCTCGTTGAAAAGTCCGACAATTATGTTAAGACTTATGTTAAAACTTAAAAATAAATAAATTGATTTTCGTAATTGAATGTCTCGTCATTAATATGAGGGCGGAAAAAATTGGATAATTTAATCTAATTTTAGAACATTTTCGTAATCAATGTAAATTTATGCCGAGAGGTCGGTTCATAACCAAATTGAACGGTCAATTTTATTGTAATTCAATAAGCAAAAATAAATAAATATATGAGCTTCTTTTTGCTTCCAAATTTAATCTTAAAATTAAATGATATTTAAATTAATAAGTAAACTTAAAAAAATAAAACTATATTTATTTCAACAATGTTAATTTATTTGTAAAATGTTTTATTGAATTCTCGATTTAGTATTAGCTTTTTTTTAATTTTCTTATCGAATTGGACTAACCATGTAATATCAATAATTAACATTTGTAAATTCCCACGTTCTGAAAATATTTCAATTTTCAGGATCAATTTGCTGTGCAATAATTTGTTTGTAATATATTGTTTATAGTTTTGGATTTTCATGAGGAATGTAACGTTTTTCAATTATTCTCTTCGTGTTGAACATTTGATTTTGAAATTAATTTAAATTTATACGCAAGAAGAAGAAGGACGAGTAAAGAAGGGTGCGAAATCGAGCGTGAATAGTTGAATTTTCCAAGCGTCAAACTGCCTTAGCGTCACGCCGAGCCTCGTAGGACTATAAATCGGGAAGGACCCAACACCAGAAGCACAGTTCACATCCTAAGAACATCTCGACATCATCTCAACAACAACCACTCAACGTCAACTACGAAAAGTAAGTTGAATCATTATTTGCAATATAATAATTTTTCTAATTTTCATATTTTTTAGAATGAATTTCGCATTAAAATATTGTGTCTTGATTTTGGCCATCGTCGCCCACTGCCATTCGCAGAGCGGGAAAACATACATGTGCGGAGCTCGCATCACCGAAGCCCTGTCCATCATCTGCGAAGGCATCTACAACGCACCTCTGAAGAAGGCTTCAGGAGCTTCAATCTCTCATTCTTCTTCTGTTGGTCTCAATGACCTGGAGGAGTTCAAAGAACCGAAGATGGACGAGTACGTGAAGTGGCAAATCTTGAACGCCATCAGCAAGGAGAACGAGCAGATTAGAGCCAATATGATGATGCCTTTCCAGCAGCGATTCCAGAGTTTGGGTTTGATGAAGACCAGATTTCGTCGCAGCCCCGGTATCGTCGAGGAGTGCTGCCTAAAAGGATGCACCATCGACGAGATGCAAGACTACTGCGCTTAAATACAGACTACTTCTGTTTTTGTTGATTTGCTAGCAAATTATTGTTGAAAATTATATAAATAAAATCACAAGTTGAACTATTAATCTATATGTTTGAATTCCATACATTAAATCAGGGGTTCCCAATATTTTTCTGCAACATAACACTTTATACATCCTGAAATTTTCAAGGACCTTGTTTATTTTTTAGGGTAGGTAATAACACATAATAAATAAAATTTTAAAAAATAATAAAAATGTTCATTAAATATTTAGTCATTATTTCAATGCAGGTTTTCACGGAAAACCCTACATTTATTAATTACAATTTGTCGATAATTTAGTCAAAATACATAAAAATACTATAATTGGCGGAAAGACTTACGTCGATAGCCCTTTGTTTACAATTGGTGACTAATAAAGATTTGTTTATTACTATATACTATAATTTATGAATGTGCTACGTAATGAGGAGGACATCGCAACAATGTTTTTTGTTATGTCGTAATTATTTTATTTACAATTGACATTGGAAAAACTTTCCAGGTGGAATTTACCAAAATTATGATTTTGAACATTAATAATAATTAATTCTATATACTAGATCTAGTGGTTTAGAATATTTGTATGTTCGAATTGCTGGCTACACCCTAGATTCTAGGGCCTAGAAGGATTCATTATAACTTTGTACATTAGTAATTTATTTTCCGACACTTTCCCTAATAACCAGTAGAGTTTACTAAACTTTATTTGTAATTGCTCCCTCTTAATCTGAATGTAGTCTTGATATGATTTTATTATTTTAAAATAATTATTTGGTAAATTATTCTTTATTTTATATAGTAGACCGAGATGCCACACTTTGTCAAATGATTGCGGTATGTCCAAAAAGGCAGCCAAGCAGTACTTTCTTTCTAGATCTTGGTAGATGGTATTTACTATTCTATTTACTTGCTAAATTGTGCCGTGTTTGTAATGAAAACCAAACTGATGGTCTGGTATAGATTTATTTGACACTATAAAAGGTTGCAATCAGTTAGCAAGTTTTGTTAATATCGGTAGAAAACTTATGGGTCAATTCCCCTTATTAAGTTATAACATGGCGTCTTCTTTGGCTTTATTTGACTACTAATATATGTTTTAATTTTCTTTGGGCTTATTGGTTTGATTGGCATGGATATATGAAATTGAGAAGATAAATAAACTTCTAATTCTTTGTCTTCTTTAGTTGAGACTTGCTCTGAAAGTGGTTTAAAAATTGTTCTGAAATGATATGCAAACATTTATTGCATATAAGAGGAATTATTTTCTGGCGTTTTTACAGATTTTTTGAAGTTTTCCACAAGGAATAATCTGTTGTTTCAGTGAGCGTCAGGTTCAGTAAGTCCCTTTTCATAGCTTAATACTGTCATTGACCATAGACTTGGCTGAAGGTCCATATGCTGAACCTCATTAATTTCACTGTCCATCTGTGATGAACGATGGCCCTATTGCTGCAAGCACCGAGAGTGCTCACAAAGGGCTTGGCTTGAGCAAGATTTGAACCTGCGCCCACTAGCTCGTGGGTAGGGCGACTTAACCATTCGACTATTAGTCGCCCTTAAATAAATTATTTAAAAAGAAAAAATCTTATGATCTGAATCATAACAAGTCACATAATCAAATTGAAATTATCATTTTTTACACTTACATATTAATACTTAAGCATAATTCAAAGTTTAATTGAAATAACGAGAAATTTTATTTTATTCAATTTGAAGCAAATTACACAAATATTTGATATGCTAGTTATTGTGTAAGTCTACTATATAATTAAAATTTATTTATATGTCACCTGTACAAAAAAAATCTGATACGAAAGTTTTTTAACGTTTTAGTTTGTTAGTATTTAGGTCGTTTAATTTCGTTTAATTATTGAAATATTTAGTGGATGTCTTTACATTTTATCGTGTTTTATTGAACTTTGAAAATAATTGATAATTGTGTTTATTTGAGCGTGAAATGCATGTCGATGCAAGTAAATTCGTTCGTTGGAAGACGACATGTGCAATAGGTGGATAAATAAAAAATCTTTTAATTTTGGATCTGCAACGCATATTGATTGCCATGGTGCAATTTATAGCTGTATATAAGATGCATGCAAGTGATGGAGGAATCACTTCGCTGCAAGAGATCTACCAAGGTAAGACAAGTGAAGATATTAAGTTGAGACAATAATTTTGAAGATATCGGTTTTTCTTGTTGTTAGATGAAGCTCTCTATCGGATTTACTGTACTAATGTTGACATTGATGACTTTTTCGTCGGAGGCTATTATGCGAAGCAAATGTGCGAACTTCCTGGTTGAAGTAATGAAAGGGATTTGCAATGAGTTGCCGGAAAACGAGTCAGAAGAAAGTTTTCTGGAGAGAATCCTCGATGACATTCGCAATCCGAGCGGAGGAATGTCACTCTTTCCATTCCAGAACGCTCAGAAAAGTAAAAGGTTACTACAGAAGAAGTACGGGAACACTTTGAGGATCACCGATTGTTGCATGATAAATTGCAATTACGACGAGTTCCGTTCCTTCTGCCCGTGAAAACCTTTCTTTGATCAATAATAATTAATAACACAATTATTAATGTGACTAAAGGATGACGAACGCAAATTCCAACTGTTACAATTCTTAATTATTTTTTAATATAATCTTTGTTAAAGGTAATTTGTATGTTGTTTTAATATGAAAATCCAACACCGTTGTATATTCAGTTGCCTAAATAAATGGCGCATGTGTAATACAAACATCAATTATAGTTTTGTTAAAGATCTTTAATGTTGAGTTAATCCAAATATAGTTAACTTCTCAGTATACTTATGATTATCTTAATTTCAAATTTCATTTATTGGTCAAGATTTCAATGTATATTCAATGCGATAATTGTTTTATTTTAATAATAATTTCTAATATAAATAAACTCTTTTTTTTTGATTATTTAATTAATTGTTGTTGTTTGACTTACGGGAAATTTGCTGGAATGAGTTTGCAGATTCTGAGGGTTGGATGGGCTGGAAGTGACTATAGGAACTTCGTGTCCCGCCGCCCCCGGAATGCTCGGTTCGTTGTAGAGCGGATATGGAGGCATCCTGTATGGAGGTGGAGTTATTCTCCCTGAAGAACCTGAAGGTTGTTGTAGCTGCTGTTGTTGCAGTTGGTGCTGAGGCAAAGGCTTCGGAGGAGGCACCGGCTTGTAAGGCCCATAACCTTCCGCCTCAACTGAAAATATAAAAATACAAAATTAAAAATATTGATAAAAACTAAAATAATTTCACAAAAATCAGTAGCTTGGAAAATGCCGGAAAATTTGAGCTCAAATATTGGATGTAAACAAGCAAAACGTAAATTACATTCAGCAAGGATAGGCTTCATTGAGCATTAGCCGCTATCGTAAATTCGCACATTAAACGCACATTACCATCGATTATTAGTGCCCACGTACTCGCGATCTTAAAAATTTCCATTGCTGTTGTTTTTCTTATCTTTTTTCTACTCCCACAGTTGGTTGCGATTTTGTACAGCAATTATGCGAAAAACAAGACAGCCGAAAAGTTTATTGTGCCACCGACGGCGTTTTTCCCCAGTGCTTAGAATAAATCTGAAATAACTTATATTTACACTTTCCAATAACCGGCGAAAAATTAATAACAAATGCAGTACACGCATTACGCAACGAAACATTTGAAAGTTGATCAAGTGTGAATTGACAGAATTCATTTACTTCTTCGAGTTTCACATTTTGAATCTTCGAGCAGATTTATCGACGTCGCTCTATTTAATATATTATTTACATACTTAAATTATCACAATTTTTGTTTTGAAAATATTTTTATATCTGCTCTGTTATTATTGTCAGTAAATATAACTTATTTATTTGGAGATAGTCATAAGTTTTATAAACACTTTGTATATCATGAGACTATCAGTAATTCTACTTAGTTATTATGAACGCTATAGTAAAAACCACCAGCGGTTGCTAAGGACATCAATCGGTTGCTAAGAAAGTAAAATGGTTGCAAAGAACATCAAGCGGTTGTTAAGACCGCCAAGTAGTTATTAAGAACGCAAAGCGATCACAAAATTTCCTATGATTGCTAAACAGATTATTTTTCACTTAAAAGCGAATACGAGTTGTCACATTGATTTTGGAAAACAATTACAGCCGCTACCTACGAATTAACTGGTGTTTTAATTTATTGATTCTTTTTCTGTCTCGTAATGTGAAATTTATTGAAAGTAGAATGATTTATTCCTGTTTCTTTCGCGTTCAGTTAATTATTTCATTTTAAACTTGATTTCGTTTATTAAAAGTTCACATTGATTATTTAGCGTATACATTCATTATCTTATTTTTTATTCATGTTCGTTCTGTATTCTCGCCCATTGTCTGCATGATTATTTAATAATGGTAGCTGGAACTAATTAGCTAATTAGAAGAGTGTAGCTCAATAGACACGCGCGAAGCTTAGGTTGATTTCCTGGAAATCTAGAGGTGAGTGAATGTTCGCTGTACCGGTACGTTCAAATTCTTTCGAATAGAAGATTTTTTGATACAACGTACATTATAACGTCTATGCAAATAATGTGTTTAAATAGTTGTAAAGAGTTTGTTCTCTACTTATTATTGCAAATTACGCTCTCCGTCATAGTTCAATATTTGAAGAAGGCCGTGAAGCATAGTAAATGCGATTTCCATGGAAATAAATAAATGTTACCATCAAGTGTACAAGATTTGCACGAATATATAGTTAAGATTTTTTGATGTAAAAGGCGATGAAATCACCAAAATATAAAAAAAAACAAGCCAACCGAACACGTTTAATTTCTAAATAAAATTGCAACAAATCATAGGTGCCGAGAAGCAAATACAATGTCCAGCCCACGCGTCTGTTTCGTTATTGTTTTCTCCTCGTTTATCTTGATGGGATTGCGAGAATTAATCGTCGCGCGAATTATTCTTATTACGTCTTGGGGACCATTGGCCTACTTATCCCACGACGATTATTCAATTTTCGAAGGAAAAACAAAAATTCCCACTTCCCACAGCCGTAATATTATTATCATTATCCTCATTATTCTGAGCAACCAAATGAAATTATTGACATTAAATTTATTTTTTTTAGTCCTGTTTTACCGTCATACAACTATACTCATTAAATTCTCTACAATATTATGTGACTTAATCAATCGTAAATTCTACTTTGACTACAAATCAATTTACGCGGCAATGTTCTAACAACTAGTATTGTAATAAACTGAAAACTGTTAAATTTTAATGGCGGATAAAATGGACGCTACGCTTGCTGTGCGGTTGCCAATGATGCCTTATATTTAATATTTTAAACTTTGATTTGACAGGAACTGTGGTTAGTGTTAAATTTGTGTAAATGTTTTGCGCGTTGATTTTTGCATGGAAAGTATGTTTAGAACCACCGTGACACGGTGAAATCGAAATAGCTTTGATGACAAAACATCCTTGAGGGCACTTGGTATTCGATGGGCATCGCTGTCAGAGTCTGGTCGTCACGTCACGTCACGTCCGCGGAATACTTCGAAGCAATTGTTTTCCATTCAACCGTGATTAAAAGTCATACATATGCACAATGTTTCCGGAACTGCGGGAATAATGAAGAAGAAATGTATGGTACGTTATAATTACGGTTGCTATTTTTGCTGGTGGGTTTCTTGTTGAAGAAGTTTTTCTTGAGGAGCGATTCGGGCGTCGCGAACGGCTTCAGCGACGTCTGGGAACGACGCAGCCGTTCCCCGTGCTTGACCTGGCGCACCGTCCGACCGGTAGCCATAACATGGTTGCATTCTTTATGCAGATGAGATCACCGGCATTACGTAAGACCCGACGACGCCTACGATTATCACGAAAAACCGACGACCGAAGTATAGAGGAGAATGAGGAGTTGGAAATACGCACGCGGTCGCGATTGCGGAAAAAATTAAACTGAAGACGTCTTCGAAATGGAAAAGAAAAAAGCCCCCCAGTGGATTTCTCCACTTCTTTCTGGTCTGGCTACGACGATGTGTTTCCGAGTTTCGTTTAAGATGTGGAGGGGAGGCTATATATTTTTTCGATTGTATCTGCCATGAGGACCATTTACATAGAAAGGCGGGAAGTGTGTCGTTACTTATGCGAATCGAGACCGTTTCTGTCCGTCTATCTGTTACGCTTCCCTGCGGCAGGAACGCGCACAATGGTTTCTTTGGAAGATCAGGAAGTCCTTGCGAACATTTTAACTATAAATCATCCTAAATGTCAACTGCTCCACGTCAAAAAAATAACAGCACCACAAAATGCTAAGAGCAAATTCCGAAATTTATAAAATTATTAGAAAACTTGTTAATTTAGCAATCAATCTCGAAATGATCATACCGAGTGACGAGGAGAAGGGAAGTCTCGAATTGTGCACCCGCTACATCATTTTCCAAACTTGTATTTGTGTTCAGGCATGTGAGTTTTTTGTGTGCAAAATATGGAAACCCTTGCATAAATGTCCCCGAAGAAAAAGAGTCAATAAGACTGTCATAAGAGAATAGTAGTATTTCGGCATAGGACGCATTTTCTTATTTTACATTAGTTTATATGGGAAACAAGTTTTTCGCGTTACGAGTAAGATTCTTGAAAGAATTATGGTCGTTATGCGAGGTTCCACTGTATACATTATTGCAAATCAAATGTGTATCAGATATTTGTAATCTGGCAATTATTATCAAATTATTCAATGAACAATTTACAAAAAAATATAAATATGTTGTTAAATAATTGTAAAAAAAACTAATGATTTACGAGACTCAAGGACTTCTTTTAGAGTTAACGGCGAGACTTTTAAGCCAATTTTTTTTGTAATTGATTTATATACATAATAAATATGTTAATTCAACAGCCATACGAGGTTCGTTCTCCACAGAAAAATGCCCATTCTGGAATCTTGGAAATCACTTGGAAATAGTCACAAGGGATGGTGCATTCACTCCATATGCATTTTGGCATTCGTGCTAAATTTGCATAGGCTTGAATTGATGTTCAAATCCGAAGAGAATGGCAAAACGAACTGGTGGTGGTGGAATTTCTATCGACCTTACGTCACAAATATTTCGTTTTCTCCTATACAATCTTACCGATCTTCTTAAAATTTGATATAAAATATCATTAGACTTTAGATTGGCAAACAATCTTTTGTTTTTCAGAAACAAATGAATTATCACCTTCTTAGCAAACATCTGCGAGGGGTCTCGTAAGTGCGCTGATTTCCATGTAATTGAATACATCTTTCGTCCATTGTTCATGTTATTTTTGTACGTAATTGGAAGACGGCGACTTTCTTAATGTATAATTATCATATTAAATTAAATTAAAAATAATACAAAAAAACAAATACAGAATGGATAGGTGAAAAAGACACACTTATCTCGAAGAAAAGCTGAGACAAACGTTATTTTTGTATAAATATAAATCCTTGGAAAGAGTACCAACATACCTTACCAACATACGCAAATGGATTAATTAAACCAGTTTCAAATTAAATAACCATAATTATGTCAATAATAACAAGATTGTACTGTTTAGATTACATTTATTTCATTTGTAGTTACATTACTAAAAAATAGAAATATTTTTAATGAAAATTACAATGAAATTTTTAGAAAAATCTATCTAACATTTACATAATACATTTTTAAATTAAATTTATTTAATTGCATGTTAAGGTATTATGTATGAATTTCCTATAAAAATATAACTTTGTTAAAAGCGCTTACCTAGTTCACAAATTGGTAATTAAATTCTTTAGTTTGCACAATAACCTGCCTATTTAGCTACTAGCTCTGTTGTATCAGATCTATGAATCGAATTCGAACGAATACGATTTGTGTTGTGATTTTTCTTTTATTATTTTTTGCTTGTAAACGCGATAAAAGTATTTTCATTTTCTCGCGGTTTTCTTTCCATCCGCGGGTCGGAGTCCATCGCGATAGAGAAGTAATCATCAAAGTTCATCCACGAAGTAGTAGTAGGAGGAAGCGTAGAATGAAGCATTGTTACGGTACCCACCGAAGCGCAGTTCCTTCCTCCCCCTCGCCAAAGAAGTCACACGTCTACCGCGACGCGGCGCGAAGAACGGTAAAGGAAGCACAACTCTACGTTCAACATTCTCCAAAATGCAGATCGCATAGAAAATCTCAGTTGCGTGTGCTGTAGTAGGAAACTTCTTCTGTTTTATTTTTCGCAACATCACAATGGGCCCATGCATATTCAATGTTCCTCGCCAAGAACAATAACGGATTCTATATGGATCGATAGAAGGAATCGATGGTACAGAATTGCGCAGAGGATTCCATTCGAAGGATCAACTCGAAGGGAAGCGGAAACGGCGAACAACGAGAGCGTGACCGGAGAATCCATCATCGTGATTAGCGAAGAGCGAAATCAAATTGAGTAAGGTTTGCTGGTAAACTCGTTAGGTTTGCTGCTTGGCTGCCCGGTTATTACTCGACAGAACCATTGTAATTTAGCAGTTTATTAACGAGTATGAGTCACATATTAACTCATACAAACTATCAATTACTATTAAATAAATATTTTATAATAAATATAATACCAAAATTTTTTTTTTACATTTAATTTGACAGGTGTTAAAATTAATATGTGTTTTCTTTTATTTTGATATGGTGTTGATAGAATCTAATAATAAGCAAAAAATGCTCTTATTTTCTCAATTACCAAATTGATTTAGTCTGAATCTTTAAAGCTGTGAACTTCAACCGTTTAATTTAATATATTTGAATGTATATTTTGATGTTTCAAGTGTAAACATTAATCTTACAAAAAAAAAATAACACCGTGCATCAATCTGAGATGCATCGCCAACTCTTGCCTCGCGTTATTTTGACAGCTGTCAATCTTTTCTGTTAATTCGATTGACGGACCGAGCGAAAGAGATTGCAAGATGCGTGCAACCTGTTTCACCAGGTTCTTTGCAGCTAATTGCATCTTATCAGAGCCGGATTACACGCGCATTCCAAACGAAACGCCGGGAAAATGCATCCATTCGTGTATTCACGTACGTACGTGCAAATGTGTATATATGAATGCTCGAAATGATATGTAATTTCTTCCGCGAAACCGGGGCGAGCGCACCCATAATGAATGGTTCTAAACGTCCGCGCTGATTATTACTTAATCAAAATAAAGTGTAAAACAGATTACGGAATTAATTGCCATCAATTAAACATACTTCACGAATGTTGTCTTAAAGGCGGAATTATACTAATTAATGCGAAACGTATGAATATTTCAGTCATCCATAATACCGGTTCTGTATTGGACAGAGAACGTTTCTCCAACCACCACGTATTAAAGTTTATACCTCATTAATACGAATCGATCGAATATGTAATTTAGTAATAAAGAAACCGACAAGATTCTTGCGGGGATTCACCGGCGACGTTCCCACGCTAAATTTCGTCAGCAATGCGCACTTCCTGTCCACTCATGGGAATGCTTCCGGAATTATTCACTCGATTAACGAATAGAAAAATATATTTACATCATTCAAAATTTTTAGGAATTTACATTTCTTATCACCAAAGAATATTGCAGTTTACTTTAAGCTGATAAACGCGACAATTTATGTGCATACGTAAATCCATTGAAGCGTTAACAATTTATTCAAATCGCATTAATTGTACGATTCGATAGGCTTTTCAGGAGTAGCAGGATAAAAAAACAAGCGCGGATTAATGTCGAGCAATTATCGAATGGACAGGCGACAAGTTTTGTTTATACATTGTGATTACATGCATTTCAATTATCGTGTTTAAACTATCCTATTAAATATTTGATGTTTAAAAACTTATAAGAGTTAAACAACTTTTATCGCAATTTGATGATAAACACTTGCTTAACAGAATGTCAATGACCTTCTAACAAATATTACGTATATTTTTTTACAGTGTTTAATTAGTTATCTGTAAGGAAAATATCTTTTTTGGTTAATTCACGTTTTCAGCAATAATTTATTAATTTATATTGTGTTTGTTTGTTTGTACTGTTTTGACAACATTTCACTTTTGTTGCTACGAGAGAGTTAGGATTCGTGGAAATCGCGTGCGTTCGTCCGTCGAGAGAGTCCGTTTTTGCAGCCAGCGGCGGGTTCGTGGCCTGATCAGGCGTTGATGTCTCCACTTGGCGTTCATTTCTCGCCATTTCCAAGAGGTCCCATTGGAACAGAGACATGAGAAAGGGCTGCATTGGGCATAACTCAGTGGCATAATTAAAGCCAATTAGCGACCTGAGCGATAAATCAACGCGCGATTAAAGGTCATTAATATACGACCGTATCTCTGCTGTATAAAAAATAAGATACCCGTAAAGATTAGGAATGCAACGAGCCTTTTTCCTTGCTGCACGCACTCGCCGCGTTCACTCACTTCATAGTTTGTTAATATTATAGAATAGCAATTGAACAATTGTTGTATAGTTCATATTTTACTCACTAGATGGACTCGATGCAACGAATTACGCTTTTGTTTTCAATTTATTACTTGTTTAAATAACAGTATTATTAAAAAAAGATATGCTTTGCCATATCTTATTTAAACTAATTAAAATATATGTAGATGTTATTCACTTTTATAATTGTGAATGTATTCTACGAATATCCGCAATAAATATTAATACTTATTAGTAAAGCAAATCGCTTACGTCTTACTTGAGCGCTAATCTATTAGTTTAATACTGCTTAATCATCCAAACTGTCGAACATTAAATATTTATCTAAATCTAGATTTTGTCATGGCATTAAATCATTAGGAAATTGAATCGTTGGAAATTGTATCAATTTATATATGTATTTTTTGCTTGATTTTCGAAGGTTGCAATTACGTTTTTGGTAACGGCCGAATTTATATCGTTTTTTAATACCTTCATTTCTGAGCGCGTTACGTTCCTCGCGTTGTTTTGACTTTCGTACGAAAAGTGTGCATGTATATTTATGAGTGCAATAAATAGAAAAAAAAATAGTTGCCCACACGCGCACCGTATTGTTGTACACCGTTCTCTTTACGCTCAATTTTTCAGAAGAAAAGAAAGAAAAAATCTCTCTGGATAAAATAGAATGCAAGATTATATGTCTCTTTATAAAAATATATATGTTTTTATAAGAAGATGTAAGTCAATCAATTTTATGATGTTTCAGCGGCGTATTCTGAAAACTCGATAGATTTATTTAACAATTGTGAATTAATATTCGAGGTCTTTAAGGGATTTCTAATTTCTAATATTTTTTTGAAAACAATAAATAATTTCAAAATAATTATGAATACAGAAACTTTGGAGTTTTAATAATCCTATAAAATTAATTATATTTAAATGGCTTTATAAAATGTTTGAAGAATCAATGAAATAAAGTTTACACGGAATATTTTTTTTTAATAAAAATAAGTAAAATGTAATTGTGTTTCTTAGATTTTTGTTCAAGCATATATTAATTTGTTTACTGATTTCAGTTAGTAAATAGCCTTGATTAAATTGAGGGTGTAGGCGGAGTGTCGTCTTAAGCGCGAAATAACGGTGAATGAGTTGTTTTCGGAGCGCTCATTCAGGTGTGAAATCGATGAACGTATTAACTCTGATAAGTAGTTTTCCGATCCAAAATAAGTTGTCACCTCGGATGAGCGTCTCGTGTTCTCACTAGTGCTAGTGTTAACGTATATAAAGTGCTCATCCGGAGCATTAAGACCATCATTGGATCTCCATCAGCGAAATGAATAAGATCAACGTCTTCGCTGTGCTCTCTTTGGTCTCCTTGGTCATCAACTCCTTCGCCTTTGTCGATAAGCCGCGATGCGGTTTGGAGATTCCGAAGATGCTTACATTAGTCTGCAGCAGCGTCTATTACTCTCCCCAAAAGAAGAACCACAATGGTAAGTGATTACACATAAATTGAGAGCAAATGATTTTTTTTTATTGTTGTTGTTTTAGATCTGAAGAACTACAAGATGCAAAAGTTTGAAGACGCGTTGAGAGCAATCGAGGATTTCAACAGTAAGAACGAGGCTGAGAGGGAACTGTTAATGCAGCAGCAGGACGCGCTCTCCTACCCGTACATCAATAGGTTCCAAGGATACAGAATGATTCCGCACAGGTTCAAACGTGGTGCAGGAGGCATAGTTGAGGAATGCTGCCATAAAGCATGCACCTTTGAAGAAATGGCTGGATACTGCGATTGATTGACTTAAATCGACTACTTGTACCTTAAATTGGCTTATAATTAAATAATCATATATTACATAATATACTTATTCGATTTTCTTCATTAAAATTAACTCAAGTCGCTTTTAAAAATGTTTTTTTTTTCAAAATTTTAATACCAATAATATTGAACAAATTTCTTCAAATATTCATCAAATCTCAGTAAAAAAGAATGAAATTTATATTTTTTTTTGACAACTATTTCAAACTAATTTTCGACACATTTCGTATTCTCCATTTCTTAAGGAAATTACATTTTTTTTTAAACAACAATTAAAATCGATTATTTCAAACTAATATTTGAGAAAATCCGTCTTCTAAATTTTTCTACCAAATATTACTTATATTTCTCTATTAGGATAAATTCAAAAGGAACTTAAATATTTACTTAGGGAAGTTTCGGAATTTTTGTCTTTTCAAAATTACATTTTAACAATTAAAATCGATTCTCTTCAATTTTTGACCAAACATTTCTTGTTTTGCCGTATTATTAGGAATTGAAACTAATTTTTATAAAACACTAAAATAAATAATCACTAAATCAAATATTTCTTAAAATAATAAACACTGTCAATAGTTATTTGCAGCAGTTTATCTTTATTTTTGTTACTATGTTATTATGTTAAGTTTCTATTTTGGTAATTTCTTCCAATAATATATATTATTATTTTAATAAACACTAATTACAAACAGACAATCTCCAAAACAAGTTTTGTTTAAAGCATTACCCAGAAGAAGTAGGTTTATTCTTTCAACATTACTTTCTTATACAACAGTAATTAATGTTTGATTTTAGAAAATAATCACCATTATTAGCTTAATCAACCTACGGACGATTTACATTTCACTAGAAAATTACTCAATTTGAAGATGTTAAAGAGCTGTGTCTATAAAAGCTAATTCCTATGTTATGGGATGAGCCGTCGAATAATCGTTACAAGCTATAAAATAATATTACTTAATTAAAGATTACTTACTAGTTATGTATAGTCTCCTTTATAATTAAGTCATCTATTTAACCATAATTGTAAATAAAAAGGTCATTTTTAAGATATAGTAATTATTAACTCATTTAATTTAAGTTTACTTAACGTATGCTCAATCATGTGAACAATTTAATTAACTTACATTCGTTTGTTTTGTTAAACTTAAGTGTTAATGTGATGATGAAACATGGAAATGTAAATTACTTAATTTGATCGTTTGCAAACAATTGCAACAATATTTACTCGATTCTTAGGCGAGGACTGCGAAACCCGAGGATGTATAATGAAAAAAAAGCGATGGTGAAGAGATCGTGCAGTTTCAAATCGAAAGTGATGATGCATTTTAAATGGAAATCACGCTCGTCTCCTAGTCTCAGTTCCTCAGGTTAAGTCTCTTCGATGTAAATTGTCTATTGCGTGCGTCGTGCATCGAATTAACGTTTTTCTTTTACCTGTTTAAAATGCAGCCGCCGCATCTGGTTATTCCATTTAAAAAAATAAACCCCTCTCCCCACCCTTCGTCGTACAGCTGCATCCAAACCAAACCGAACCAAACGTAGAGATATCAAGAAAAGTGGAAGCGAATTCTTTCCATCTTTTCCTTTCCGAGCGCACAGAACAGGACGTTAAGATCCTGCTACTCAATTATATAAATCGCTCCTCGAAATAGGCTTCACGAAATGCAAGTTGTTACTTTTAATTGAAACGGCTTATTCAATTTAACGTAAATGCGATTTGGTTATGGTTATTGAAGATCTTAACTGTCTTTCGGATTCACCGAATGGTTTTTCGAAGTGCCATCAGAAGATATTCATGGTCGATTTTCGGTTTGGATCGAATTGTGTAAACGAGAAGCGTTTTTTTTTCTCAACGCACGTTGAATATAAAAAAACATCGTTTACGCGTTAATATTCTACAAAAGTGTAATAGCTATTTCTCATTTGATCAAAGTTAACGGTTATCCAAACAAATCTACTTATACCTCTTCGGTCAATTCAACGCAAAGATATTTTTAATTTTTTTTTTCTATTATAAAAGCAAATCAATACAAGCTCAATGCGCTAAACTAATTAGTGAAAAAGTTTGTCTTTTCTTTCAACATTTAAGCTTAAGCTTAATTTAAAAACAGAAATTCAGAATACTAAACAATAATACATGTTGTTGGTGTATTTACTTCATTATTCACTGTTCTTTTTTAGTTTCAACGCAAGAGCAGAACACAAACCCAACATTTTGAAATTTAGTTTTTCCTTTGTTATTAAAATATCAATTGAAGCTAAGAACACTTAATAGGTTATTTAGAAACAATTATTTCAATATTCACCATTTTTTTAATTTAATTTCGACAGAAAAGCAGTTCATAAACTAAGAACATTCAATAAATTATTTACAAAATCTTAATTTGTTAGTTTCATTATTCAACAAAAAGTTTAAAGAGTTTTTTTTTGCTAAATAAATAATGAAGAGGGTTTCATTAAATAGCGACCGTAAACACTCATCAACAACTCTCTAAGTTTCTAAGTTGACTGAGAAAAAGAGATCGAGAAGAAAAAAACAACAGGAACGATCGATTTCACTTAAATAGACTCTAATTACGCTTTTGTTTCGGTGATATCAACGTCGGGTCGAGAAAGTAACGCTCGCATTTGTTTCTCGCATTTGTTTTTTGCTCGATTGATCATTAAAATTTAGAATGTCGTAATTATATCTTCAAGTATAATTTAAAATTTTGTGTTTAGTGAAACGAAAGTTTTCGCAAAAAAATCTATATTTTCAACACATTTTTTGTAAAAAAAAAATAAGTACTTTTATCTTTATAAACGAATCACGTACTACTTATTTTATAATTAATATTTTCAGTTTTTATCATAATTTTAAATACATTTTGAATGTAATGGATATCTAATCAAATTTTCTAAAACATACGAAGAATTTTTAATATTTCTATGTCTAGCATTTAATGTATGTAAGTATGTGTTGTAAACATAATTGTATTTAAATTTACTTAGATTACGTGATATAACTGGTAATAAATTGCTCTCAACTAACCGTTGAATATTCGTTACAAAACGTATAAATGTGTCTTCTTAAAAAAAATGTATTTTAATAATTCGAAAAACAAACAATATTGTTTACTTTTTTTTCTCACTATAATCATAGATATGCTCAGAACAAACACTAAATCAATTAAATTTTCATTTTTTTTTACTTCAATGAAAATATAATTTAAACGCAAGAGCAGAACAGAAACCCAAAATTTTTAAATTTAAGTTTTTTTTCATTGAATATTCATAGAAATTTTGTATATCTTGACTGCTATTACTCCATATAATTTTAATAGTTTTATATATGTTTAAGACAATTTTTTCTGTTGCTTTTGATTATTGTATGTAATTTCCATTCAACTATATAAGAAATGTTAACTGTTACCTGACAAAAATGATTAATTTAAATCATTTTTTTTGTTTTTAATTATTTTTTGTTACTTATTTTATAATTGTTTCATTTATTTTCTGGTTAAAGATAATGTTGAATGAACGGTTACTATCAACGGTTTTTTGAATGATTAATGTTAACCGTTTTTCATAAAGTTTGTAATAGTTTCTTTGTATAATTTTAAAAGCATTATTTGAGGGGTTTAACAATGTTTGTACCAATGGGTTTCAGAATGCGTGGGATGCAAAGTCGGGTGGATAATTCATAATAATAGTGCGAGGCTGTTGACTCTATTTTATGCAAATCGTCTCTTGTGCGGTTCTCTAAACATGAAGCCATTTGTTTACGGTAGAGTGAGCCATGAGCCGATGGAAAATAAAAGGCAATCGGACAAAACAATGGAAGCACGAGGGAAGAATAAGAAGATTAAAACTGTGTATCTCTTTCTGCTTTTACCAGTGTTTCGAGCGTCGGCTTGGTCCAGTTTTCCAAATAGAGTCGCACATTTAATCGATGAAAAAGAAGAGGAAATGGAAACAGTCTTCCGTTTTCCCCGATAATTCCTTTGTTTTCTGCACGCGTTTTCGTTGTCTGAAGTACCTTTTTTTTAGTTTTTCCCGACGGATCGCACAAATTCCCTAAATCGAATGCACTTCTCTTACTATTACTTGCTCGCACTGTGCGCACACTACCTATGTTTTGGACACAGAGTCTCTAACTAACATTGTTTTGCACCTGGCGTCTGGTAACAGGTTGGAAATGTTCAAATATAACCTGTGGAACGTTGAGGATCGGATCCATCGGCTCGGATCGGCGGTGGGCGCGAGCAGCCGAAGGAACGGCTCTCTCACGGAATGCTATTTCAAATGCGTGTTGTTATTCTATAAGGATTTATCTCCTCTTCTGTCCTTCTTCTACCTCTACTTTTCTTCCACAACCACCAGCAACTACGACCATCATCATCATCAGCAGCAACAGAATATTCTATTTTTTTGGTTGTTCTTCATTCCCGGCTCGTCCTTTATAATATATGGAAATTATATAGGCAACTGCAAGGAATGCTGGCAAATAGCTCTTCTCTTTTTCATCACGACCGGACAACAAAAATTTACGCATTCGACATTGAGAGCGCACACCGAAAATAGACTTAGCAGCAAATGCCGCAAAATGAAATTAAAAATCTTGTTGCAATCGATGTAAACTGCACCTGCAATAATTGATGCAAAAGTTCAGAAAAAAAAATCTTATTTTGTTGATTCAATTTTGTTGTAACCGATCTAAAATAAACTGCGAAACTTGTATCAGTAATAGTTTACAAACAAAAAGCTCATTTCAATTGATGTGAAGGAAACTAACTATAATTGATGATTTCAGCGAAAAGCATGATGATGAAATGAAATGAAAATTAAGTGATTTCGTTTTAGAATCATACACGCAGGACGATTTCTTCCAACGCATCAATTTACATAAATTAACCGATAGAGACGTTCCTAATTTATTTCGTTTTAAACACATTTCACATTTCAAATGACTATATTACGTTTACAAAGAAAAATGTAAATAAATGTCGATACATAATTTATTGATAATGTGACATTGACTCGATTACATAATTTTGCCGCCCGTCGTTCACACAAACATCTTGTATAATTCATAATTTAATTATTGTTTTACATATTATCACTAAATTTTTTATTAGAAACATTTGCACATTTTTTTTTAATTAAGAATTACTACTTTACTCAATTATCTTAAGATTTACTATAATCTATTTAAAGTCGTTTTGTTGTTTATACTTTTTGCTTTATTTTTTCAATATTTGTTAAATTTGCAACAGTTATTAAATAATATATAATTAACTTATTACACTTTCTCTTTCAATTTTCAAAGTTAGATTTATAATAATTTAATGAACGTAAGTTTATTTTTAAATATAGTTTAGATATATTCACACATTTCTAATGCTTGTATAATTTTTAATTGTTACACGATAAAATCTTAACTTATAATTTTATTTTTATCAAATTTAAAATACCATTACGTGATTACTGTATTTGTGTTTATAATCATATTATTATCTACCCAATTAATATATTTAATAATTAACTGAATGCTCTAACGACGCTTACTTTCATCGAGATTAAGTAAATCTTGAGTTAATATTATACCAATTATAAATATAATTATAATGTTTTTATACTCATTTTAATCCATGTAGATTTTGCTTTTAAAAAGTAATCAATAATTAATTTAGTTTCCGTAGTTTTGGAATTAAACTATAAAATCTAAAGTACCTTCAAAGCTTTTTTTTCACAATAATTTATTTAAACACATTGTATGTTATATAACTTTTGTCACAATAAGCGTTTTAATTATTGTCTTTATATAGTCATATAATCTTCTTTCCATTTTTTCAAAACAGAGGATTTATTAAAAAAAGCTTTTAATAAATGGCGTGCGTTGGATACCGGCCAAATGCTAAAGAAACAAACACTTTTTCTTTTTTACGAGACTTCATCTCTTGTGCGATATGATTGACCCAGAAACTCGATATCGAGAAGAAAAGAAATTAAATAAAAAAGTAAAAGAAAAGCAAGTGTATATAATATGATGTCCGTTTAAAAGGTGGCAGCTGTCGTGAGGATAAAACAAAACACAATAAAAAAGAATAAGAAGAACAACGGCAGATGTGCCACTTCGTCTGGCTTTTACTCTCGACGCAAATTTTTTATAAAGTTTTTCCTTTCAAAATAATATCGAACAATAAGAACCCAATAATATAGTTGTTTGTCTTGTTCGAATTCTGTTGTTAAATTAAGAGAAATTTATAATATATAATTACATTGAATTTAAACTATATATTTTCTTGGAAGTTGTTGGATTAAGGCTGGATTTAAAAATTGTCGAAACTTAATTGAGATAGCTGTATTACAATGAAGCGAATTGAATAATTCTCACGGGTTCAAAGAAAAATCCGCCTGCGCCTTCAGACGAAAATTCCGAATTTCACCTTTCGAAAGAAAGAAAACGCGAGACAATGCGTACGAAGGATGCATTTAACACACCGAAACGACTTTAACCTCAATCCCCGAAGTAATTGCAAGTAAAAAAATATACAAGAAAAACAAACAATTCATTGTTTTTTTGTTTAGTTTGAAAAAGCTTTATTTTCGTCTGATGCACGCAAATCTTCGTTTTAATTGCTATGTGTAATTGTTTCTGGTTGAAGCCGTTGTTTCTGGCCTTTCAGTGCCCATAAATAATTAGTGTCATTGATTTATTGCGGATACATACGGCGCAGAAAATGCGGTGAATGGAGGTCGTCGTTAAGATTAAATTCAATAAGTTTGTCGAACGGAAACGCTCGATGATAACGCAACGAAAGAAGCCAAAGAGAAACAACAAACAGCAAAAATTACCAGCAAACTATTAATTAAAGCAAACAGTAACGACTGAAACTGGTTTTCGGATTCAATGAAAGAGATTTATTTATTCAAAATGGAAGATTCATGCTGCAATCTATGATTCTTTTTATATTTGCTATAGAATCCAAATTTACCAAATATAAATCTTTGTTTACTGAAACGTCTTTTGTAATGTATTATTTAGTTGATGGTTGTTGCTATATGAAAAGATGTAAACAAAAATGAAGAAGTTTTTACCCTGCGGTTTTGGTGGTAGTGGGGAGAAGATAATGGCTGCCCGAGGTGGAATGGGCGGCAACGGTTCCGTCAACTCGGTGGAGGTCGGAGGGTGTCTGCCGATCATTACCATTTTCTGAAAGAGAAAATTATTTAAAATATGATGGGTTGTGGTCTTAGAAAGAGAGAGATATGGGCAAGCTTCTGATCGCTGGAAATTGCATAAGGACGAGAAGTGCATGAGCCTGACGAAATTGTAAATTTATATAGATATATATTCTCGAGCTGTTAATGACTTAACAGCACCAATAAACACACTTTGTTTATTATCGTGGTGAAAGTTTAAGTTATATCTGTTCACTACAGGGTGTCCGTTTCTTGATGTCTATCGGATTCCACTCTTTACTTTACTCTTTACTTTACTCTT